GTTTTTTTTNTTTTTTTTTTCAAAAAAATTATTATAAAAAATATCTAAGGTATATTTTTATGTTAAATTTATTTAAAATAAGTTATATATATTCCAAAAAACCTTAAATATTAAATAATATATTTTTCTTCTTCATAATAATAATAATAAACTAATTAGTATATTTTATAAGAGATAATTCATATTTAACTACTTTATTTATTTAAATATTCATTAAAATTATTAATAATAATCTTAGTATTAATTATAGATTGAATAATTGACCAAAAAATAATTAAAATAGTGAAAAAAAGATAATTTTGCATATGTTTTTAATGATTATTTTAAGGAAAGAAATCTAAAAAAAAATTAAATTAAAAATTTAAAAATAAAAAAAGATTAATGATAAAATATTATCTAATATTAATAATTAGATATGATTTATATAATTAAATAAAAATATGGTCATGATAATACATTAATTATATAAAAAGTTTTAATTTTTTATTTATTAAATAAATTATTTTTATTTAATATTAATAATAAAAATTTTACTTTAAATATAATAAATTAAGAAATTATATTTATATTTTTTTATATATATTTATTATTTTCTTCATTATATTAATATTATTATTTACATAGAAGTACCTCTACCTTAAAAAAAATCCATTTTAATTTGGTCTTTATAAAAAAAATTATTTTATTTTATTTTAATATTAATTTTAATTTTAATTTTAATTTTTTTTTTTTTTATTTAATAAAAGATATATAATATAAAATCAGTAAACTATGTTTTTTAAATTATTAGAGTATCATATAATTTTAATTGTTCATTGTATTTAAAATAAAAATTATTTTTTTTAAAAAAAAAAATTCTTTATAAAAATCTTAAATTTATAAAATCTTGATAAAACATTTTATTTAATAGAGATTTTTAATTTTTGAAGTATTGAAATATACGACGCATTAATCATTTTAATAATATTTTATAATAAAAGTTAGCTTTATTATTAGTTAAATTTACTTGTATTCTGATATACTTTTTATTTTTTTATTTTTAGGAATTATTAGTTTTTTTCATAAGATATGCTTTTGTTATTTTTTTTAATTAAATTATACTATCAGAAAAAGCTTCAAAATTATGTTATTATTTTATAAATTAATCAAATTCATTAAAAAAAATATAAAAAAGTTATAAATAAATAATATATAATAAATTTTTTATTAAAATATAATAATATATTATCAATAAGAATATAAATAATATTTTTATATTAATAACAAAATTTTAATTTAAATAATTATAAATATAATTATATATATAAAAAATTGAATTAAATAAATAAATATTTTTAAAAAAGAATATTTAATAATTTATATTTATATATCATAAATTTTTTATTAAAATAATTTTTATAAATATATAATACAAAATTTAATTTATACAACTTATTTATTTTCTAATTATTTTTTAAACACAAATTATAAATTATCTAAAATAATCAATAAATGGAATAATTATAAGATTCGAAAACGTAATAAAAATTATTGAATTATATAATTTAAAATAAATTAAATAAAAGAACTTTAAATAATAATGATTTCAAAAATTTTAAAACTTTCCAAAGTTTTTATAAATAAATTATAAATGAAAATCAAAAATTTGAAAAAATTATGTATACATAAAATGAATTTAGTAAAAGTATTACAGAAAATATGTTTAGAAAAACATTTTAACGCTTTTCTAAATAAAAAAAAAGTGAATTACCAGATATATATAATTTGAAAAAAAGCAAACCGATTGACAGTAAATATAAAATATATATATATCTAAATAAATTTTAACAAAAGTTTATCAACCAAGAGATGGTTAGTATATAAATTTAACATTTAAACCAAAAATGGATTTAAAGCGAATTGAATATACACCTTAAAAATAAAATAAAATATTATGCCCTCGACCAATTTAAGAATTAAAACCTCAAAAACTAAAATAAAAAGTAGCAGGTAGGGTAGCATCACAGAAACTATTTTTAAAAAAGTATACAAAATTAAAATAAACAGACTACAAATTTTAGATAAGCAGAGATTAATAGGGAAAATAGGTATAAGCTCCAAGATTTAATTTGAACGCTTTTTTTCTTGTGGAAGAACCTGAAAAGAATAAAGAAGATTTAAATGTAAAGATTGCAAATATAACAAGCAAGTAGAATAAGTATAATTAACAATAAGAAAATTAAGATTTAATTGATGAAAAAACTTAAGAAGAGATTTTTAAAAAATAGTTTTAAAATGAAAAAATAAGATAAGATTTTGACGCGTTATTATTATGCTAATAATAGCAATAAAAATAATAATAAAATTAAATTAAAAGCCATGATTATGGATATAATCATTTTTATTATTCTAATATTAGATCTCAAAGTTAAATTACTTAAATAGCTAAATGTCTATTATTAATAAACAAAAATTCTCCTACTTAGATAAAGTATTATTTACTTTTTTTTTATTTTTATATTATTATATAATTAATTAAATTATAGATAAAAAAATACTGTAACTTTAGGAAGGCCAGGTTATGATTTTTTAAAAGTGACTAAATATAAAGACAATGAATTCTTTTAAAATACAATAAAATAAGATAAACCATTTTATCATAAAGATAATAATTAAAGGCTTAATTTTGATAGCACTTTTAGAGATATCAAATTTGGTAGAATTAGTAAAGGAAAAATCTAACAACATAGGCCGGAAGATAATATAAAAGATGTTTATCCAATGAAAATTAAAAAATTTAATGATTAGAAGAAAAATTTGAATATTAGAAAAATAAATAGAAAAAAAATTGAATATTTAAATGAGTTATATCCTAAATATTTTGAATAACATAAAAATTTAGTCGAATATTTCAATAGTAATAATGGATAAGATTGCGATGATGTATTAAGTTTATCAGATTATATTCCTAAAGGATTAAGAATTCAATGTTATAACTGAAATATAAAGGTTTATTGTTAGATTAAATTTAATTTAAAAAATAAAAAAAAAATATAATTTTTTATAAAATTCATTTAATATGATAAAATAAAGGATAATTTATAGTAAAAAATATATAAACATTTTCTTTATGTGAATATAACTATTTTTTAATTTTAATAAAACATTTTTAGACTAGAGTTTTTAGCAATTATTTCTAGTAAGTTTAAAAATTAATAATGTTTGTACTAAAATTAAATGTAAATAAATAAATTAAAAAATATTAAAATAAAGAAATATTTAATAATAAAAAGATTATTCTTTTGATAATTATAAAAAGAATTTACTTAAGAAATATTTATTTTAATTTTAAATATTAAATAAATAAACATTTATGAAATGTGAATATTACAAAATATCTTTTTTATTTTATTTTTCCAAATTATATATGACATTTTTAAATTTTATTCATTTGACTTTATTTTATTATATAAATATTAATTTAATTTTTTCATTTGAAATTTAAAACAATTTTTCCTATATTAATGTTTTGTTCCATTCTTAAATGTGCATCTTTAATCTTTTTATTTTAAAATAAAAATAATAATTCTTAATAATATATTTATATTTTATTATATAGGAATATAATTTAATAAATGATTTCTATTTTTTCTTTTAATTTTATATAAAATATATATATAAAAAAAAATTATTTTGATTTTTTTAATTTTAATTAAAAATATATCTTGTTTTGTTGTATAATATATTATATGAGTAAGTATTTACATTTTATAGTCCTTTTTCATCCCATGTAACATCATATTATTTATCAATAATTGTAGTAAATTATTTATTCGAGAATTCCTTTAAAACTTCTTTGCAAAATTATTAAACAAGCTATTTTTTATATTCATCATCTCTATTTCTATGAAAAAAGAATATCATTAATAAAAAAAAGTAAAAGAATACCTTAATGTGCTAGTTATTAATGATGCTCTCTTCTATACTAAAGGAACGAAACTGAAATCCTTTACTTTTGCTCCTCCCATTAAGCCATAAAGAATCCATCTTGCATCCATATTTAAAATGTTTGTAGTCTTTAATTTAAATAAGATTTATTTTAAACTAAAGAATAAAATACCAATTCGCTATTCTAAGCTCCTATGCAATCTAAAATAATATCGATTCCTTTTCCATTCGTTTATTCTAAAATTTTTTATTTTTAATTTTAAATATCTTCTTATTTATAATTAATTCCTGCCTTAGCACCTAATCTTTTACAATAATTAATTTATTTATTTTGTAAAATAAATACTTTAAACAAAAATCCACTTTTTCTTTTGAAGAAGTAGTTATAATGGCATTTGCTTCATAATGTTTACAAAGCTAAATAGCTGCAGTTCCTACTCCACTTGCTCCTGCATATATGAGTACATTTTCATTTTTTTATAATTTTCCTATAAATCTTAATAACATAAATGCTGTTAGCCAACACTCTGTAATACTTGCAGCCTTTTTGTATTTTTTTATTAATAATTAAATAAAACTTTAAAAATATTATTTATCTACTTCTGAAAAATTTAAATTTTCTGGAATTTCAATTATATGATCTTAATGCACTTTTGTATATCTTTTTTTTATTTATAAAATAATAATCGATTTTTTTACTATGCGTATCCACCCCCTGAAAGTAACGCCATCACTTTTTTTTTTTCTTTACTTTGTTTTTATTTTTATTTTTTTTGTATATATTTATATTTATTACCCGTTTTCATCTAATAAATATCCCGCTGCCTCTAATCCCAATATTTATGATGCGCTTTTTGGAGGAGAATATTTACCTTGTCTCTTTTTTATTTTTTTTATAAAAATAAGGCAATATTTTTATCTCTTAAGTTATAAAAATTAACTTATAATATATCTGCTCTGTTTAATGCTGTAGATTGTATTTTTATTAAAACTTCTTTTTCTGAACAGACAGGTATTGGAGATTACTTTATTTATAAAATATCTACGCCACCAAAACCATTTAAATGAATATGTTTCATTAAACTAAAAGTATATTTTAATTTTAAGAACATTAATTATTATTTTTCTAAGTAAAATTAATTTATATTTTTTTTATCTTATTATAAATATTTATATAAATATAATTATCATAGACTTTAAAATATTTATTAAATATCTATATATATTAAATTAAATAAAAAAATATATAAAATTATTTCTACTACAAAAGAATATATCATTCATAATTATTTTGGTTGGTATAGTCTTTAAGTATCATTTTGGAGTTTAATCCTATAATTTAATAGGTTATATTTCATATTATATTTCATTTAATTTTTCATAATTTAAATCAAGTCTTTTATCATTTGAATAAATCAATAAATGAATAAAAAGACACATGAAAGCAAGAGAAGTAAAAAATATTTCCATCCAAAAGAATCCACTTTATTTGTAATTTGTTTATTCAATAATAAATCCGACAATTAAAGGTCCTATTACTAGTCCTTTTTAAGTATTTAAGATTTTTTTTATTTTTATTTATAAAAAATAAAATACCTCCGTTTTAAAAACCAATTGTTATTCCAAAAGCTGTTCCTAAAATTTTATTAGGAACAACTAAAGGAATACAAGACCAAAAAACAGCTCCATATAATGAATAAAAAATTCCAAATAAAATAAGTGGGAAAATAAATGAAAAATTAACACAATTATCAAACTCTTGTCCACATTAAGGCATTATAATCATAAATAGGTGAGCAAATATTAGAAATATTGAAGATATAATGAGTAATTAAGATCTTTTTCCTATTCTATCTATTAAAAGTCCTATTAAAGGAGTCAATATAGATGAAATTATGTAAGGTATACCCATGTAATTTGCTTTATTTAATTTATTTTTCAAAATAGAAGAAAAATTTTTTATTACATGCTTAACTATTTCGAAGACCATACTAATTTTGCAAATAATCTTATAAAATTTGCATAAAAGGAAAAAAGCACATATAATTGCAAATACTTGAAATTACTAAAAGTTTAAATTAATGATTTAAATATATAGCATCTTAAATTTTTAATCGGTTTTCTTCTTAATATACAACTTTTAGTTTACCCTCTTATTTATCAGCTTTCCTGTCTAAAATTATTAGAAAAATCCCACATGTAAAGGAAAAAATGCAAAAGAAACAGCCTAAAATCAAAGGAAAAAATAATTATTTGTTATATATTTTATAAACTTAAGGAAATACGAATGAACCCAAAACACTTCCTAATCTAGAAACAGACAAATTTAAACTCATTGCTAGAGAAATATCTTTGTCAATAAACCATTTAGAAGCAACCGAACCTAATTTTTATTTTTAAAAATTATAAATCATATTATATTAGCAAATATTTTTTTTATACTTTATGTTACATTTAAGCATTCTCCTCCTAAACCAAAAATAATACGACCAAATAATATAATTGAATATTATTTAACTTATTCATGAAATCCAATAGAACATATTAGTTATCCTATAATCAATATAAAAGTAAACAGAAAAATTGCTTTTCTAACACCTAAACTGTCTATGAAAATGCCAGCTAATAGTGGTAAAATTATATTTGGTAATGAATATACAGAATACAATAAACTAAATTATAAGTTGGTTAAACTCATGTCTTTCTTTATTTAATTTAGTAAATAGCCCGGAAAATCATAACACATATATGATCCAAATGTAAGAAAACACATAAATAGTAAAGCTAATAATCTCATTTTTGTTTTACGATATGAATTATTATAATTTGGTTCTTTGCTTTACATTATTGTTAATTTTTTTATTATTAATTTATAAGTTAAAAATACTATTTTTTTATTAATTTTAAAATTTTTATTCAAATATATATTAAAATATATTTATATATAAAATTAATATTTAAAGTCATTTATATAATAATTATAATAATTAATTTTATATTTTTTTAATTTTAATATAATTTATGATCGAATTAAAGTAATTTATTTTATAAATAATTTTTATTAAAAGCATCATTTTTGAAAAAAAACTGAAAATATATATTCATTTAAATATAAATCAATTTTACTTTAAGAAATAAAAAAAGGAATATTAATTATAAATTAAGATTAAATTTGCACATACAGATTTATTTTTATAAAATTGAAATTATTTAATAAATCGTGAAAGTTTTTTTTTTTACCATTGAATTTTATTATGGATATAAATTATTATTTTTTTTACTTTAAATTAATAACAAAGAAATTATATAATTTAATAACAACTAATCTTACATGCCTATAATTTCGATTATATTTAACTTTTAATAAATTTAATCTATTTAAATAAATTAAATTTTCAAATTTTAATTTATTAATTTTTTTTTAGATATATGTAAATAAATCTAAATTAATTTATTTTAATTTAAATGTAAAATTTCATTAAATTTTTTATAAAACCTAAAATTTATTAAATATTATTATACTAAATTTTGTATTTATACAATATATTAATTATTTATTTTTTAATTTTTTGTAATTATTTATTAAAATCCAATTAAAAAAAAATTAATATTATCCATATTATTTCATTCTTTTTTTTTATACTGATTCTATAATTAATAATTACAGAAAAAATCTATAAATATATAATATATAATGAAACTTATAAGATTATGTTTAATTTTAAAAACTAACATAAAAAATATTACTATACAAAAAAATATTATCTTTAAATTAAAACATTACTTTTACTAAAATAATGTAAGTTAATTAAAGAACAAAAATTAAAAAAACACTATTTTTTCAAAGAAAAATACATGTAAAATTGTTTATATATAATAATAAGAGTTAACAAAAAACAATTTAATAAAATACATAACATAATAGTATGCTAGCAATCTCTTTATTATTACTTATAACAATTATAGTAAAAAGCATAATTGCAACTATTTAATCAGAAATTAAATTTAGACTATGACTATTGGATTCATTTAATTAAAACGGAATACAATAATATATTGAATTTAAATAGGTATGAATAATTATAAAAATATACTAATACGAATTAGAATGAATAATTTAAGAAACAATCATAAATTTAGCCAATAAAAATGAAGATCTTTTAAATGAAAAACTGTAAATTTAGTTTAAATAAATCCTTTTAAAAAACAAACTTCTTATACAAAAGAAACATTAGAAAAATTTCAAAAATTATTCTTTTATGAAATCCAATGTTAAAAGATTAAATTTAAGCTTCTAAAATTACTGTCTCCCTTTTGCTTTTTACAAAACTATATATTTTTTTGGAAAAGCAAAAAAATTAGTAAAATGAGAAATTATCAGACTATGCAATTTTTTTTAGTTAAAATTGTCTAATTTGGAAAAAATATATATACTTTACTCAAAATAAATTAATTTATTATAGTACTTAATTAGTTTATAGATGTAAAGTAATAATAGAATTTTAAGGAGAGGAGGGGAGGGGGTCGATATAATAGAATTTTAAAACGAAATAGCGCACATAGTATCTAAAACTATATCAAGTCAAAAAAATAATAAATTTAAAATATAGAAATATATATATTAATCTAATCTCAAAATATAGAAAATTTATTTAAGATATTAAATAGTTACAAAATTTTTTGCAATAGAAAAAAAATAATCTCAATCAATAAACTTGTTAAAGAATATTAGGTAATTAAGATGCATTACATATTAGTTGCTTATAAATTTTTATTTCTGTATTTTTTATTAAAAAAATCAATAAACTAAAATAATGGTATTTATATTTTATTTTTAAACAAACAAAAAAATCTATAAACAAGTAATAATTTGAAATTATATCACATCAATATTTTTGGGAAAAAACTAGTATTTGAATATGAATTAATAAGTGTATTTAATATTTTTACGCTTTAGAAGATGAAAAAAACATATTTAGAAAAATCAATATTAAAACTTATTAGTTAATACTTATAAAAGTTATTGTTAATTATTAATGTTTTTTATTTTTTACTAATCTATTATATTTAATTTTAAATTTCCTATATTTATATTTTAAATAATAAAATAAATAAAAATACTATTTATTTTCTATATATTAAAAAAACTTATTAGTTATTTAATTTCACAATCTTATTTTTATATTTTTTGATTTAGTTTATATTTAATACAAAATATTGTTTTATAATATTAAATTTAATTATTTTTATAATATATAATTAAATAAAAACAAATATATATTAAGGTTTTTTAGAATATATTATATATTTTATTTAAAATTTTACTTATTTTATATTTTAATAATATAGTTTTTTTTTAAACTATATAAAATTATTTTAATTAAATCTTTATAACAAAAACTTAAAAGATAAATAATTAAAAAAAAAAATATTTTAATTAAATTAATTTAGTATATATATTTTCTTTTATTAACCAAATATTTCATATATTTATCATGATAAATTATATGTAAATACTTTCTTACTCATTGTTTTTAATTAAATCCTAATTAAGCATATAATTTACTTGATATTTCTTTCATTTTATCAAAACAATTTTTCTTTTTTTCTTAATGATGTGTTATAACAACTGTTTATGGAGATTTCTAAGGATTTAATTTTTAGTCTTATATTGCAAAAGCGCATTATTTTGCTAAAGTTTCAAATGCCAAAGATACACATTCTCCTGTTTTTGCACTTTATTTTATTTTTTATTTTTTATTTTATATATAATAATATACCTAGTTTCAAAATAATTCATTTTATACTATTATGCTAATTCAGCTGCAATTAATGTTTATACTTATCTATCCTATTTTATAAAAAAAAAAACTAATAAAAAACAATAATAAATAAAAAAACATTAAAATACTTCTTATAAATCAACTTTATTGCCAACAAGTATTTTTTTTACATTAAGCTCTGTTTTATCAATTACTTATTAAATCCAATAGTCTTATATTTCTATTTTTTTTTTAAATGCAACTTAAAATAACTTTTTATTATTTCAATTACTATTAAAACTTTACTTGTCAGTCAAATCAAATGTTAATATTATACCATCTGCTTTTTAAAAATAATTTTTCGTTAAAGCAAAATACTTTTCTTATCCAGCAGTATCCCAAATACAAATTTTTATTTTATTTTCATTTACTTATATTGTTTTTGTAACTAAATTTAAACCTATTGTTGGTTCATATTTATATGTAAATGCTTATGAATCTTTTTTTTATTTGTTTTTGCATAAATATAAATAAAATATTTTAATAAAACCAATTTCTTATTCTTTGTCATCTTATAAATATCTATTAATTAAACAGGTTTTTCCTGCCCCTTTCAATATTTTTTAATCATTTTTATAATTTATTTTATTTATAAAAAAACCTTAATTTCCTACAACTATAATATCGATTTTTACCATATTATTTTTATTTTTTTATATTATATTTTTGTTAGGTTGTTTTTTCAATAAAAATATTTATATACTTATTTTTAAAATTATATAAATTTTTTAATTTACAAATAGAAATAAATAATAAAATTAATAATTTATTATTTAATTAATATTTAATATATATTATTTTATTAATTTATTATTATCATATATATTACACTTGTGATTTTTAAAATTAAATTATATTTATATCTGTAATATATATACTAATTAAATATATATTTCTTAATTATTTTAAAATAATTCTTATTAATTTAAATTATTATTAGTATGTTTGTATATATATACTAATATAAATTTTTATATATTAATATATAGTAGTTAATATCATATACGCAAATAATTTCAGTTTTATTATAATAGTTTTTTTAGCATATTTTTTATTTAAATAATTTTGAGGATATTATTAAACTATGTTTTTTTTTTTTTATAAATTATACATACATTAATTATTAGTTATAATTACTTTCTAAATTTATAAATAATCTAATAATTTTATTCATTTTAATTAATTTAATTAAAAATATTTTATTTAATTTTTTTAAATTAATTTCATTTTTATTAAATTTTACTATAGATAATTGTTATTTTTTATAAACTTATTATTATAGAATATAAAAAAATAAAAATCTATAAATCAAAAATTAGAAGTAATTAAAACAAAAAAATATGTGTTAAAAAGAGCTAGTTTAAATTGTATATAAATAAACAATACATAAAATATAAAAATCATATAAAAATTTTAATTAATCTATCTTTATCGTTTTAGGCTGCAATTTGCCCTCTAGCAAACATTTCATCGCACCAGTATTCATCCCAAATCCAATAATCTATAGGAAATCTCACATTCGAATTTTCTGTTATATCTAAGTACTCAATATTTTATATATTTTCAGTAACAGCTTGGCCACATTCTTGTGATTTTAGGAAGTACATTAATAAATATTTTATAAGAATCTTCATATTTATAAGGTATGACTTAAACTAACCCTCCATCAAGACATTTTTTACCTTTATAAATATTAAAGAATTAAGGTCGAGAAATATAAGGAATCATTCCTGATGAAATAAGTGCTTCTCTAAAATTATCTTTATTTTCAAATTAATCTACAAGTACTTTTTTAAGTTTAAAGAATCCATCAACTTAAGCCACATAAGTATGAAGAACACCATTTATATGAGGAATATCGTCTTTTTTTCCTCTATAAAATCCCAATATTCATTACAAAACTATTCCATCAAATTACCTGAAGTGAAAAATCCAAAATATCTTCTATTTTCTTTCTCAAAAAATTTACGTATTTTATTTTAATAATAGTATTTCATATCGTAATCTTTTTAATATAAAGATACATGAAAAAATGCTCCTACTGCTGATCCTGCTGATATTCCTCCTATTTTATATTCTCGAAGTTTTTCTACTCCGACATATTATGTTAATACATGTAAGTAACCCATTTGAAAAGCTAGAGCTCCTGCTCCACCACTTAAGAGTAATTCTTTTATTTATTTTTATTCCATTATTTATTTTATAAAGAGTTATTTTAGAATTTTTTAAATTATATATCAATTTACACTATTTTTTAAAAATATTGATTTAATTTTTACAAATATTTTTATTATAAAAAAAAATATGTAAAATAGAAAAATTTAATAGATTTTTTTTATTTCTTTCTTTTTTACTTTATTCTTTATTACTTTTTTTTTTTTTTTACTTATTTGTATTTTTAAGATATATAATTTTTTTTTTTTATAAAAAAAAAATATAAAATAAAAATAAAACAATTAAATATTATATAAAAATAAAATATTATTTAATTTATTAAAATGTAAAATTAATGATATATTTTTAAGTTTATTAAAAAAAAAAAAAGAGAAAAAAATCATTTTAACAAAGCTCCACTTGCAAATTCTTCTTATCCCTATTTGACTACTGAGTCAATTTTTTTTAATATCTTTTTAGACTTATATTTCTTTATCTTTTCATTAATTTTCTATTTTTCAACTTCCAATATTTCCAATTGTTTCATTTATTTTTCATTTTCTCTTTTAATAAGAGGGTGTTCTAAATCCATTTTTTCAGGATTTTTAGCTATGTCTTCAAAAAATTTAAACTCTTCTAATTCTCTTCTAGACATTTATTCAGGTAACTTCATTTTATATTATGTTAAATCTGTATATCTAATTTCTGTTGGTTACCATATATCTAATTTTTTTCTTTTTATATTAAAAATAAATACTAAATTTTTATTATTATTGCATTTTACTAAAATTTCAAATGCCTTCTTTATATTTTAAAACTTACTGGTTTACTCTTTGCTATATATTAAGGATTAAATTTGGAATCTTAAAGCTTATACATCATCAACCTTCTTAAATATTCGCCATATAAAGAGTCCATTTTTTTAGGACGTGTTAATAGAATATAATTATCAAGTCCTCCATATTTGTCAATACATCTAATAGCTTTAGTACTTAATCTTAAATGTATTTTTTATTTCAAAATATCGCTTTATAGATATTTTTTACGTACATTAACTCCAAATCTTCTTGTATTTCTTTTTATATTATTAATTTGTTTAATTTATAATTAAAACATACATATATATATTACCTTTTATCTGAATAACAATATTTTTTTCCTGATTTTGATTGTTTTCCATGAAATAAACCTTTTTAGGATCTTTATGTACGTTTAGTTATATTTCTTTCAAGTATGTTATTTACTTTATGAAGATCAAGAATACTTTTTTAATCAAAATTTTTGAATAACATTTATTGTTTTGCATGTCTTGAAAATGCATAGATTGGCTTTTGAATTATTATTGCAAATTTATTAAATGTTCTTAATATATTAAACATTTTTTATATTAGAAATTTTTTTTCTCTTATTTATTTTTTATTTTAAATTTATATATATCTTTTATTTTTGTTTATTTAATTTATTATTTGTTTTTTTTTATTATTATTATTTAAAACATATACTTACTTTATTAAACTAAATCAATTGTTAAAGATTATTCATAAATAATTGTTTATTTAATATTTTTTTTTAAAAAAAAATTGAGATTAAAATATATTTTTTTATTAGTTTATTATTACAAATTACCTAAATATTTATTCTCATATAAAAATAAAAAAAAGAAGTTAAATTTTTATAATTTTTGAAATTTTAATAAATTATTATTATAATTAATAAAAAAATTCATAAATTTGTTTATAAGATTTTATATAAAAATTATATATGGCAACTTCAAGGTCTACATCTTAAGTAAAAATAGCAAATAAAATTAAATAAACGAAAAAAAAAAAAAGAAAAGAAATTTAAATGAAGATAAATTAAGAACATAAGAATTAAAATAAAAATATAAATTGAAAGATGAACTATAAAAGCAAGAAGTCGAATAAATTTCTAATAAACTATTTAAAATAAAGCTTTAATTTGATTATTAATAAAAACATTTTCAAGCTTAATAGGAAATGTAGAAGTTAAATGAAGAAAATAAATTTTTAAAGCAATAATTATAATTTTAAAAATAATAATGGTAATAATCTCTTTAAATTTCTAACTATATATATAGTTAAGGAGAAAGTTAATAAAAGTAATTAAAAAATGAAATAACAAAAAATTAAAATATTAAAAAAAAAAAAAGCAGTCGAGTATAAAGTAATAGATCAGTAAATAATAGTTAAAATATTTAAAAAAATAAAGCAGACAAATTACAAATTGATGTTGATATATTGAAATTTTAACAAAAATAAATAACTAAAGAAAATAATTTTTTAAAATAAAAACTTGAGATTATGTAAAATTAAATAGAATAAATTTACAATGTAATATAATCAAACAATATATTTAATCTTAAAATATCAAATGTTGAATATCAATAATAACTAAACAAATCTTTAAATTAATTAAATTAATTTAAATAGTAGATATAAAACACTAAAAATCAATTTTTAACTAAAATTAAAGGAGTTTTTTAAAAACATGAAAAATAAAACTAAATAATATCAAGCGAGAATGATAAAATAATGAAAATTTCTAAAGAGCTTCTTTCCTAATCATATGATCGAACTTTAAATAATACTAATTTTTCAGATAATAGTTCTTATTCTTCTTCAAAGAAATAAATAAATGAATAGTTAATAAAAAAATAAATATAACCTTCCACTTAAAATAACTAAAATAATTAAAAAAAAAAAAATAATAATATAAAAAAAGAAAATAACTAATTTAAAAAAATCAATAAAAGTGTGTTTGTAAACGAAAATAAATAAAAATTTAATGATTAATTACTTAAAATAGGGTAAAAAACAAATGTAAAGCAATAAAATATGGAAAATTGTTAAAAATAAACTAATAATAAAGTAACTTAATAATAATAAATTGAAAAATAATAAGCGAAATAAAGAATTTTCGAACATAATATAAATTTATGTTTAAATGCAAATAAAAAAATAAATAATGCAATATCGACTTAAATAAATAAAATTAATAATTAAAATTTAAAAAATCAAAATAAGTTAGATTAGAGAAGATTGTCTTATGGATATTAGGCATTAAATAATTAAAAAAATAGTTTTAAATTAAACATTACATCTCTTCAAAATTCTAATTATGAGTGTAGATAATATTCTGATAGAAAGGCGTTTGCTTCGAATAATAATTTTAACACAGTAGCACCTATTAGTTGTTAAATCACACCTAAGTATTCTCCAAGCTAAAGTTAATAGTAAACATCTAGGATTAAATAAAAAAAAATTTGATATATATATATATTAATAATTTAATAAAAAAAAAATTATTTATTTAATATAAAATTTTTGGTTTTTTTTTTTTTTTTTCTTTATTATTTTTAAATTTAATAAGAAATATTAATTTTTAATATTATCTATTTTATTTTTAAATACAATTAATAACAAAATGTATATATTTAGATTGTATTAATAAAAGAATATATCAAAAATATGAAAAAAAACTATGATAAAATATATTTATTTTTAGATTGTTTTAAATATATAATAATAATATTAAATAATTATTTGATAAATAAATTATTTTTTTATTATTTTTAAATAATTACATTATTTATTTTATGTTATATTTACAATAAAAATAAATTGTATTTTTTATTTATTTTAAAGAATAGAAATATTTATATTGAATAAAAATTATTAATTAAAAGTTTTTTTTTTATAGATTCAATAATTAATAAATTTAAAAGGAAAAAAAAAAAAAAAAATAAGGAAAAAAAAAAAATAATAAATAAATAAAGTAAAAAAGGAAAAAATAAAAAATAAAAAAAATATGAAACCTGTTTCTTTTTTTGACGACGAAAACATAGGTTCAGTAAAAAAAATATGGTAAAAAAGTTCTAAAAATAATGAAAAAGCTGGATAAATTAAGACTATTTTTACTAACACATTCTAGAAGAAAAGTAAGAAAGTAGGTAAAACAAAACTACTTTAATACTATATAGATGAAGAATACTTATATTTTTCGAAAAACTTAAAATCTGATAAAATAAATGGAGTCTTAGAATTAAATTGTTGTAAATTAGACCTCCTTTAAAATATAGAACCAAAATAAATAGATTCTTCTATGTCTGAGCCATTATGGGGATTTAGAATAATGAGAAATGGAAAAACACTCGAAATATATACAAAAGATTAAGTGTAATGGAAAAAATGGAAAAATATATTTATATATAAATCAATATAATCTACTTTTCATGAGGATTTCATTGTTACTAAAATGATAGGAAAAGGTTCTTTCGCTAAAGTTTATTTAGCTACAAAAAAAGAAAATGGATAATAATATGCAATTAAAGCATTTAATAAAGAATTCATGCTTAGTTAGCACAAAGGGAAGGAATCATTAATTAATGAAGTAGGTAATAAGAAAATCATATATTAAAAAATAATATATATAATAATGTATAAAATAATATAATTTAAAAAATATAAAAAATGAATATATATATATATATATATATATATATAAATATATAATATATATATATATATTAATTATTATTAAATTATTTTTAGGTGTTATGAGAAATATTAGAAGTGAGCATCTAATTAACCTTTATGAAGTTTATGAAACTGTAAATTCAATATATTTTGTTGTTGATATTTTGAGTGGTGGAGAACTTCTTCATCGAGTTAGGGATAAAGGTACTATAAATGAAGGAGACTTGAAACTTTTGATGAGAAATTTAATACTTGCTTTATAATATTTACATTAAAAAAATATAATGCATAGAGATTTAAAACCTGAAAATTTACTCCTTAAATCCAAAGATAATGATCATGATATTGTTGTAGCGGATTTAGGACTTGCGACATTTACAAATATTAAAGATATATTATTCAAGCGTTGTGGAACACCAGGTTTTGTTGCACCAGAAGTTCTTATTTACTAAGTAAAATATCAGTGTATATATATTTTTTTAACATTTTTTTTTATTCATAATAAATTAATAAACAAAAATTATTTATTTATTTATAATTAAAAAAAGGAAGGAGATTCTTTTTATGATGTAAAATGTGATATTTTTTCTGCTGGAGTAATCTTTTATTTATTACTTATAGGTAAGCAGCCTTTTTAAGGAAAAGATTATAAATAAATTCTAAGAGCTAATAAAGCTTGTGAAATAAAATACGATACACCTGATTTTACTAATGTTTCTCCTTAAGCAAAAGATCTTTTGATAAAAATGCTTATTGCTTAACCTGAAAATAGACCATCAGCAACTGAATGCTTATAACATCCTTTTTTAAAAGATAATAGTGGATAAGGATAATTATTGTAAAATGCCCAACTAAACTTAAGATCTTATGAAGTCGATTATTTAGCTAATGTTAGAAATAAGAAGGTATATTATAATTTTTTCTTTTTTTTATTTTTTTTTTAATATAAATAAAATTAGGAAGTTGATTCGTAGGACTAAATAGGATCTCTTGCATTACATTCTAATGGAATTTCCGCAATGAATGGAAAAATTGATACTGTTGGAAGTTTAAGTACTTGCAGTAATTCCAATTTTTAAAATAAAAATGGCGAAACTCATATTCCTTAAATTTCTAAATTTTCAGTTAAACCTAGATCTGATAGTATTGATGTAAATATGAAAAATAATTAACAAAATGAAACTGGATCTAATAAAATTAATCTTCAAATAAGAATAATTTGCATAAACTAGCAATTAAAATACAATTAACAAAGGTTATTAAGAAGAACAAAAGAAAGATGATTAATGAATAAATACAAAGTTAAAAGATAGTATTAATAGTTGATATTATATATAAATAAAATTAATATCAATTTAATAATAATATTATATGACATTAAAAATAACATTTTTTTATTTTACTTAATAATTAAATTTATTATTTATTTATTTTTATAAAATATAATTTTATAATATGGTATTGTTTTATTATTTAATTAATATTTTAATATTTAAATTTACTTTTTTTATTCATTTATTATTTTATTTAAGATAGTTATTTTTACTATTTAGAAATTTAATTTATTTTATAGTAAAATTTTAAATTTTTTATTTAAAATTTAATTAATTTATATTGTTACTATATTTATTAATACTAAACATTCTTATAAAATTAATATATATATATATTTTTTAAGATTATAAAATTAATAACAATATAAGTTTCTATAATAAAAATTTTAAAATTGAATAAATTTTAAAAAAATATAAGTTCATAATAAATTTACTAAAATATATAAAAAATACTTTAAAGTAAAACAATATTTTTTTTACTTTTTAATTTAAATTTAATTATTTATTTGAAATAAATTAATGAATTTAATATTTTTTTGTTAAAATTTAACAAAATTTATATATACGATATATATCATAAAATATTAACATATTTTCGTTATAAAATAAAATGCTTATAATATAATAATTATAAATATTTTTTTTAAAATTGAAAATTAATTTAATAATTATTGCAATTTCTTTTTTAATACTTTTATTCTCAATTTAATAAATTTTAACTTTTTATCTCTTAATATTTTTTTTTAATGCCTTTTAAATGGTCTACTAAACATATATTAAATTAATCTGGAATCATTAGAAAGCATCCTTAATTATTATATTTTTTTAAATAATTTCGAAATTAAAAATTACCTTAAGCGTCTAAATGAGGAATAAGACATTTAGGTAACCTCTTTTGCATAAATTCCTTATTTTTTTAATAAATTTAAAATTATATTTTCTTTAATAATTTATTATATACATTGCAATATTCTATATCTTAATCAGTCTTTTTTTTAAATTATAAGTAAGGATTTAAACAATTTCTTGAACATTTCAAACTTTCTTTTACTGTGCTTTTTTGATCTTTATAACATTAAATTTAACAATCATGGGTAAAAGCCTTTTATTAAATAATTTTAAAGATTTTTTATAATTTTTTTTTTTTATAATTTATTAACTTTTAACTATTTATATTCTTCAGCATATTTTTCAAAAAATAAATCTAAATAATTATTTGACCTTTTGATGGCATCTTTATAAAAATAATCTAATTCTTCTTAATTGTAAATACGATTAGTTTTGTTTTTATTTGAATCCATACACCTTATTTTATAAAGATATAATTAATTAATATTTTTAAAACTAAAAAATATTTTATTTAATCATTATTTATATTTTTTTAATAAGTAAATTCTAAAATTATATATATATATATATGGCAATTAAATAAAAAAAAAATACAATTGAAATTATATTTTTTATAAATTAAATATAAGCAAAAATACTTTATAAAATAATTAATAAAATTAAATTTAAAATTAAAATTAAAATCAGGATAATTCAAATATGTAAAATTAGAATCAAGCAAATTAAAATACAAATAATAATAATTAGAGCAATAATAATGCTATTAATAATCTTGATGAAAAAAATTAATAAACAGATAAAACTAATTAAAACTATTAATAATCGCTCTAAGAAAAATTATCATCAAACCCTTTTTAATAAAAACCCTTAAGAGAATATTATGATGCATCTGTTTCAAAAGTTTTATTAGAAGGTTTAAGAGAGTTAGCAATATAAAGGTATATTAATTTATTTCAAAATATTATCGTGTTCTTTTAAAAATTAAAAATTGTTTATTTTTCTTAAAAAGCTATAAGATTTAATTTTACTTCAATAATATTATGCTGATTATTTTATATACAAAAATAAGACAGTGATAAAAGTTATTAAAGGTAAAACTTATACTCGTATATCTTTTTTTAAAAAAAATAAAATAAAACAACTTTTATTTTTCAAAAGTATATAGTAATATAAATATTATATAAATTTAATTAATAAAAATAGGCCAGAAAATCCTTTACAATTTTTGGGAAAGTTTTTATTAGATAGAGATCCTGAAAAAAATTAATGAAAAAAAAAAAACTAAAGTTTTTATAAATTATTAAAATCATATTGATAAATAAATTTTATAATAATATAAAAAATAAAACTTTATTATGATATTATATCCTTATATTTAAAATTATAATTGATTTTATTTTATTTATTATATCATTTTTTAAATTCTTCATATTCAGCATCTTCTTGTTAATCATAATCTTCATCTTCTTCTTCTTCTTCTTCTTCCTCAGGTTCAGGTTCTTTAATTTCTCCTTTATTTTTGAGAAAGAATTATTTTCCACTTAACCGTAATTCTTCTTCTTTTTATTATTTAACTTTTAGTTTATTTAGTTCGTCATCAAATTTAGCTTTCCAAACAAGAAAGTTTTCTATTGTACAAGGTGTATATGTATCAAAAGTTGGTCTATGATAAATAATTTTCTATTTTTCAACAGCTTATTCTTTTTATTGAAGAATTAAGTCTATAATGTTTGTTTATATCCATTCCTTTATTTAAAATATTATAATTTTATATATATAAAATAATTTTATATTTATTACTCTAACACCTTCAATAATTTCAAAAACTAATAAATTTCCTTAATTTCTATTCATTATTTTTCTTGTTAATATTTCTAATTAAGCTATATTATCTTATGTTATATCGCTTATTGGTTCAAAAGTTATTTTTGGAAAACCTGATATAGGATACCTTTTTACCAATTCTGCAATTATTTTTATATTATATGATTTTTAATTTACTTCTTATCTAAATATAAAAGGTTTGCAAACAACTTCGAATTTAAATGGATATGAGCTTTTTAATAATGTAATATCATTTAAATAAATTGATTCCAAAACATCAACTTCTTCTTTTTGTTTTAAATAATTTCTATATCTCCTTACATTTGTTTTTATTTTATTTTACTAAAGATAATAATTAATATATAATTTATTTTTAGTTTTTTTCTTTTTATATATCTTTTATATAGTCTTTCTTTTTATATATTTTTCTAAAAATATTTTTTTTTCAAAATAATTCAAATAAGATATTTTAATTTTTATGAATCATGAAATCATATTTATTTTAAAAAAGACTTTAAAAAACAAAAATTAAAAAAATAAGATTTTTAATATATTATTAATTTATTAAAAAAAATAAAGAATTGAAAATATTAAAAATAAAAAAAAATTAAATATTATATAATATTTTATTTTATTTTTTATTTAAATAAAAAAAATATTAAAAAAAAAGTAATAATAAAATTTTTAAATATATTTAAAAAAAATCTTATATATCATAATAATATAATATTTTTTTATATATGTTTTTATATATAATTTTATATATATTTAAAAAAAAATGATAATATATATAATATCTTTATTTTTTTTTTTCTTAAAAAAAATAAATAAAGATATAAAAAAAAAAAGATTCAATTGCTTCTTCAAATATTTTCAACTTGTCCTTCATCATCATTTTGTAATTCAGAAGTCCAAAGAGTTAAGTTATCTCTTATTAATTACATAATGGTAGTTGCATCTTTATACTAATCTTCTTCAATATGTTCGATATCAGCAATAGCTTCATCGAAAGCTTATTTAGCCAAATTACATGCTTAGGAAGGATTATTCATTACTTCGTAATAGAAAACAGAGAAGTTCAAAGCTAAGCCCAATCTAATAGGATGAGTTGTATTTAAATCTTTGTTTGCAATTTCAGAAGCCTTTGTATATGCATCCAAAGCTCCATCTGATGCATTTTAATGGGTTTAACCTGTTGCATATTCTGAAATATATCTGTAATAATCTCCTTTCATTTTAAGGAAGAATACTTTTCCTTCATTAGTCTTTTAATTTTTTTTAAATAAAATATTTTTTTTATTTTTTTTACTTTTGCTTTTGGAATTAAATGCACATCAAGCAATTCAAGAATGTTATTACAAAATTAAGAAAGTTCTGCCTCTATTTTTTTCTTGTATTCCTTTAAAAGGTTCAAATTTTTACTTCCTTTTGCTTCTTCTTTTTATTCAATTGAAGATATTGCTCTCCAAGCAGTTCTACGAGATCCGACAGAGTTTTTGTAAGCGACTGAAAGCAAGTTTCTTTCTTCTATTGAAAGCTCTTAGTCTAATTTAACTACTTATCTCATGTAATCTAGCATGTCTTCAAATCTTTCTGTTTATTCAGAAATTTTTGACATATAAATTAGTTCTTCTCTAGATAGACTCATTTTTTATTTTAATTTTTTTTTATATTTTTTTAATTAATTTATTTTAATAAATTTAAAATTATTTTTAAAATATTAATGAAATTTTAATTATTTTTTCCTTTATTTATTATAAAAATTTTAATTTATATAAATTATTATAATAAATTAAATTAAAAAAAAAATTTGCAATCTTATATATATAAATAAATTTTGCAATAAAAATTTTTATATTATTCTTTTTTTAAAATAAAATAATTATATTTATTATTCAAATTTAAAAATAAATATAAAAAAATTAAAGCAAAATATTAAATTGTTTATAATTTTATTTAAAAAATATAAATATTAATTGATTTGAGTAAAAAAATTAATATAATATTAAAAAAATATTAAGTAAAAAAAATATATTAAATTAAATAAAATATAATATAATATATAAAAATATTATAAATATATTAAATAATTTTCTATATAAATAATATTTAAATAATTTAAATTAAATTAAATTAAATTAAATTAAATTAAATATATATATATATATATATATATATATATATATATATATATTTATACATATATTTTTTATTTATTTATTATTTTATATATATATTTATATTATATTTTTATTTTTTTATTTTTATTATTTATATATATTAAAAATATATATATTTATCTTTTTTATTTTTTTTTTAATATTTTATTATTAAAGATATTTTTTTTTTATTTTATTTTTAATTATTTTTTATAAATTTTTATTAATTAAATGAAAGATTTATTTTTTTTATTTAATTTTACAAAAATTATTTTTTTATAATTATTAAAAACATTTAAAAATTATTATTTTATTTATAAATAAATTATCATTAATTTATTTTTATTCTAAGATATATTTTTTTTTTAACATTGATAAAATTTTATCTTATTTTATTTAGTTTTATTTATTATTATTTTTGTTTTAAATATCATTTTTATTTAATAAATATTTTCTTTAGTTTATAATTATTATTATGTATTTTTAAATATAATTATTTATCAAAAATTATCATTTTATTTTAATTATTAATAAATCTTTTTATTTAAAAAATATTTTTTTATAATATAAATTATATATACTTTAATGATATATATTTCTCTAAATCTTTAAATACCTCATTTTACATATATATATATAATACAATTAATTAATTTTCAAAGAATAGTTTATATTTTATTCTAATATGTTATTAAATTTATGTAGCATAAATAAATATTTTTCATAAAGATATAAAAATTCTAATATATTTTTCAAATAATCAGAATTTTATCATTTTGAATATTTTTAAATACCTATGGATCAAATCTTTTAAAGAATAAATTAGCAAAAATAAATCTTAATTTAATAAAGCTTTTTACTTGATAAAATTTAAATTTATTTTAATTTTTATTTTGTGCTTAATATACTAATTTTTTATTTTATTTAACAAATATATACAAAATATTTCCTTATAATTTATATAATAAAAAATAAGCATAATTTAAAATTTTTTAACTAAATATTAGTTTTTTAAATAAAGTTTATTTTAAATACATAGTTTTTTTAAGAACTTAAGTGATATATATATTATTCAAAAATGCATTAATTTTTATTATTACATTTTTTTAACATATTATTAATTATAATATTTAGTTATTATTTTTTAATAAATATTTATTCATCAAATTTACTACTTCCAGTAATAATTTATTTTAAAACAATTGTCTAAATTAAATATATAATATTTAAAATCCTAACAATTAAAGGAAAAAAAATTAATTTTTTAAAATTCTCCATTTGTTAAAATAAATCCTTAACTCTTTAATTGCATCAAGTAATTAATCTATATATTTTAAATCATTTTTAACATTAAAACACCTTAATTTTATATAAATCTGGAAAAATATATAACCCCTTTCTCTTTTTTTGTATATTGGAAATTAATAATAAGTTTTAATTATTTTAAGACATTTTTTAATATTTTTTTAAAAAATTAAAAATATTTAAGCATTTACAGCAAACAATATTTTATTAAAAACTTTATGGACTTTTCGCAGAGTTTTTGAAAATTAAATTTGATTAAAATATAAAGTTTTACTTAGAATGCAAATTTTTATATTAAAATAAACAATTTCGAGATTCAGCTAATATTAAATTATTATTATATTTATAACAAGAAGAAAAATTAAAAAATTATTTTTCTTTTTAGGTAAGATTTTAGAAATATTATATATACTTTTAAATAAATAATAATGTATCTATAATTAATTATAATATAGTAATTTAATTTTTACTAATAATTATATATAAAAATATTATAATATTAATTAATATTTATTTTTATTTATTTTTAATTTAATGACGCAATAATGCATATATGCGCACATAAAAAAATTTCATATATAATAAATAAATTATTAAATTTATATTATTTTATTCTAAGTAAAAAATTATAAAAACTATATTTAAAAAAGAAAATTAGTAAGTTATGAAAAATGACTATATTATTAAAAATAAATAGAATTAATTAATATTTTATAAATTTAATTTTTATAAAGTACAATGTTTTTAGATTATATTTATTAATAAATAAATTTATAAAGATGTTTAAGAAATATCATTGATTATTTATATTTAATTAATTTTATTTTTTTTATTAATTTTAATATACATAATAAATAATAATTTAAAATTATTTATATTTGTAATTCAAAAAATTAAATTAATTAAAAAAATTAAATTAATTATGAACAATATTTTTATATTTAATTTTTTTTATTATTATATTTATATTTAGTTTTAGTTTTCACTTTTTATAAAAATTTTCTAGGATAAAATAATCTTTAAAGGAACAGTTTATTTATGAAACTTTCTTTTTTAAAATTAGTGTATTTTCAAGTAAAAATGTATATTCATTCTAATCACAAAAATTTTGAAATTAAATTTAAATACTCTTTTATAATAACATATTTAATTTTTTTTAATTCCCAAAGAATAAATAATTTTATATTTAAACATCATAATTTTTTATAGAATTTAATTAAGTATAATTAAAATTTATATGACATAATTTTTAATATCATTTTTTATTTCAAATAAAAATTATTTTTATAATATAGATATATTAATAAAATTAAATACAAAAATTTATACTCTAAAAACATAATAATTATTTTTTAAATAATAATTTATAGAAAATCTAATAAGATAATAAATTAATAGATTTATAAAATTATAATAAAATTAAAAAAAAAATTACATGGTATATTATAATTTAAAAATAAAAAAATTTAAACAAAAAATTCTATATAACAAATTTATTTTCTAAATTTTGGTAGTAATATTATTAAATATAGATTAGAAATTTATATTAAGTTAATTTCATATAATGTATAAAATATTTATATTTTTTTTAAATTTAATTTACAAAAAGAATAAAAATAAATGAAAATTACATTTTTATTATTAATAATTTATTTAAAATAATTATTAGCTTAATAGTAATTGCAAATATAGCTTGATGATAAATTATAATATAATATAAGCTTTACACAATTCTAAATGAAATAAATTTATGTATTTAGATTATTATAGGAATACAAATTCAAGTATATTTATATATCAATATAATTAAAGCATCCACTTCCCACTAATTAAAAGTTTCATCCTATACTATGTATGTAGTAAAGAAGAGAGCCGACAGTAATTTTAAAGGAAGATTAAAGTTTTAGTTTATTATAATATTTGCATATTTAATAAACAAATTAGAATTTGATAGATTTTAATGGTTATTATTAGAAAAAGAACAACTTATATTTATAAATAGATACTTAATATTTAAATGAAAATGTAAATTACTTTATAGGAGTATATTAAAGTGATAACATATTAAATTATGATTTTTAATTTTAAATTTTTGAATAAAAACAATGCCCAAATAATAATTGTCTCTTTTAAAAAAATGCAAGTTGTGTAAATGGACGTTGTTTATGCAAAAAAGGATTTATAGATGAAGATTGTTCGCTTACTTCCAAAACATTATAGTTAAATTAGGAAGAAGAAATTTAATTAAATAATTAAAGCTTAATTTATTCTAATTTTATTTTAAATATAAAAAAAGATGATGCAGAAAAAGAATATACTTTACAAATATAAAATAACTGTGAATCATAATATGCTATTAATGTTTATTTAAATGTTGAAGGAATGTAAAAATCTCTAGTGCCAAATCCTAACAATTTTTATAATAAAATGAATATAGAAAAGGATGAAATACAGCTATTATTAATTAATATATCATAATTATATAATTCTTTCGATGAACCTAAATAAATTATAATTGCCTTTTAAGTAAATACACCTTTAGAATAAAGAAAAATAGATTGCAATGCAAGTATTAAAGTTTATCATGATTCAGAAGATTAAATGGATAAAAATATAATTATTGTTTATTTTGTTTTAGGGGTTGCAGGGTTTCTTTTATTATTATCGATAATTTTAACAGTTATCAGAATTAAATATAAAAGATAAAGATTAGTAGTAGACGAGTAGATAGTTGATTCGATTTAATAGCAATAAAATTAATACTAGGGAAATAATAGAAATTATCATAAATTATCAATAGATGAAATTAATTAATTTTTTCCTTAAATAGCTTATATAGATATTTGCGAAATTTAAAAAGCAGCGAATAAATCGATTTCTGAAAATTGTTCTGTATGTTTAGTTGAATTTGAATAATAAGATTTTTGTAGAGAAACTATATGTAATCATGTTTTTCACAAAGAGTGTCTGGAAAAATGGCTAAAACAGAATCAAAACTGTCCGTATTGTAGATCTAATTTATCTTTAAATAATTTAGAAAAAATTTTAAAAAAAATAATTGATTAAAAATATTATTATAAAGGATAAATTAATAGTTAATAACAAAATATTGTGTCTTCTCAAAGAATTACTAAATCAGGCTTATAATAATCTAGTTCTGCTATTAATATAATATCCTAAAATTAAAAATAATTGCCTCTAGTAAACATATATTAAGATATAATTGCTAGTAATTAATTAAATCGTTAAATATGAACTTGCATTATAAGGAAGAAAAATTTTATTATTCAAAATGGAAGAAAAAATTTTTAACAACTTTATTTTAATACAAAAAATAATTATTATTTTTATGTTCGCCTTAATTTAATATTTTGATTTAATCTAAAAATCAAAAAAAAGATTAAAAATCTAATTTAAATATTGAGTTATTTATTTTTACCAATTTATATATAAAAAAATATTCAAATAAAATTAATAAACAAATAAATTTTTTAATATTAAAAAAAATATTTATATTATTTATATTTTAATATATATATTCAAATATAATAATTGCCATATATATTATTTTTATAATAAAATGGTTATTTATTTATCATGTGTTTATGTAAAATATAGTTTTCTGTAATTTGTTTTTAGTTTTTAAATAGTTTGGATGTTTAAAAACATTTATTAACCTCCGTTTTTGTTAATATTCTTTTTTACGATTTTTAAAATTTTTTTTTTTTTTTTACTTCTATATTAGTAGTTTTATTATATTATAATCTTTTAGCTAACATATTTTTAATATTTTACATATTTTCTTGTATTTCACTCTTAATATTTTAAATTGGTATTTTTTCATTACTTTTAAAGTTAAAAACTAAATGATCTTAATTTAATGTTTTAACTTTCAAATAAGGAATTTTTATTTTTTCCCCTTTATAAACTACGTTATAATCATTATTATAATATAAATATTCGTTTTATCCTCTTTTGTATTTATCAAGCTTGTTGTCAAAATATTTTATTTTAGGCACTTATATATTTTTTTCATATTCTTGCTTTTTTCTTTTAAAAGCATTTCTAATTTGATTATCTAATATATGGTCAAATTGTACTGGTGTTTTAAAAACTGAATCTATAAATTATATTTTTTTATTTCTATAATCAGAAGTTTTTTCAGTAAGCAAAATGTCATGATTACTTAAAAATTTATTAGCTTCTTTCATAGTTAACTATTAAGAATGTTAATGCTTATCAAAAGAGTTATCCTCTTCAAATTATTTTATTTAATTTATTGTATTTTATTACTATGTTTTTTCTTAAATATTTGCATTAGTTGATACTGTAACATTTTTCTTTTCTGTACTTGTGGAATGAGAATTACTAATAGTATTGTTTTTTTTAATTTATTAATTTCCTTATCTTAGTTATATATTCTTTTCCCATATTTATGACTCTGAATTACGGGTTTTATAAAAAGGAAGTTTTTTTAAAGTTGAAAAAGCTTAATTTTAATTTAAAAGCTTTCTTTTATAATATTCTGTATATGGTTTTTTAAATGTTTTTACAAGTGAATTTTTCGGATTTTCATAAATCTTTTTTAAATATTTTTAGAAAGCTTCTTAAGTCATTTATTTTATAGCTTAATTTTTTTACTAAACCTTTTCATTGTAAATTAATCTAGTTCGATTATTCTTAGAATTATCTGATTACTTTAATAAATGAAAGAATTCTTACACACTTTGAATTTCAAAATTATTATTATAATAAAAATCTCTATGCAATTTCTACAATTCCTTTGGGTTTTAAAAAATATGCTATAATATGTTACTTTCGTAATTTTTTTTTTCCTAAAAACGATCTATGAGAATATTTTCTAAACAATTTTATGGATATAAAAGTGTAGATTATTCCAATTTTAATATTTAAAGGGAATCTTTTTTATTTTTTAATTAAAAATTATTATTTATATAATAATTGGACATTTATTATTATTATTAAATAGAATTATTAAAATAATAATAATTAAAATATAAGTTAGATAAATTTTATAAATTAATAAATAAAAGAATTTTTATTTAATTAAAATTAGAAATAATAAATGAAAATGAAATAAAAAATTATATTTAATAAAAAATATAAAATAAAAATATTTAATTTTTAGTTTTTTATTTTTAAAAAAAAATCAAACAACAGGATATGAAGCACTGTCACAAACTCCGCAGGTGTTTCCATCAGCAAGATAGATGAAACCTTTTTCACCCCAAGATGGACCCCAAGAGTTTTTAACTTTCCAAGCATTAGCATTATCATCTCCTTTTTATACGAAACCGACTAATAAAACACCATGATCTAATTATTTTCCGCATTTTTTCAAGATACCAGAAGTGTAGAATTACCATTCTTCAGCATCAACAGCAATAGAAACAGGTTATTAAGCAAGAGCTTTTTTCAAAGAATTGCAGTTTCCTTTAGGAACATCAGCGAATTTGGTTATGTTAACTTTTTTGAATTTAGAGGTATCTTAACATGATCCATCAGTAGCAGTGTAAGGATATTCGCTTTCTTAGGCTAAACCTTTTTCAATAATATATTAGAAACCGTAGTCCATCAAACCACCGTCACATCCATCGTTTCCGTAATTAGTGGAACAGTCTACAAGTTCTTATTCAGATAAATCGACAGATTTAGATTATTTTCCAGCTAAAATTAAAGCGGATTCAACTGAACCAGTTGTAGAAAAAGCCCAGCAAGAACCACATTATCCTTAGTTTTTAACTTTAGTTACTTTTCCTTTTGATACCCAATCAACATAAGTAGGTTCATCCTTAGAATGGATTGTAATGGGTTATTCAGTAGATTTTAATTTTAAAGTTAAGTACGTTTGTTTGAATTCTTCGGTAGTTAAGTCCATGAATTAGGTGATTCCCTTGGTTTCATCTCCTTCAATTCTTTTTAAGTTTTAAGCGAATACTCTAATTCTGTAAGCTTCGAAATCAGGATCAGCATATTTTTTACCATATGTTGCTTTGAATCCTTACCATAAAGCCATCAAATTTTCATCAACGGTGTGGTGGGGGGTATTTTTATGGTTTAAGACAAAGAAAAAGGCAGTTGTTAATAAGGCAACTCCTGCGAAAGTAAGTATGAGTGTTTTATTCATTATTTTATTTTTTAATTTTTGCTTTATTAATTAAATTATTATTTTTCTTTTATTTTTTATTGTCTATTTAAATATATTTTTTTTCTTTTATTAAATTTTATTTGTGAAATTCGTTTCTTTTTTATATTTCTTTTATTAATTTTTTTATAAAATTTTTTAAATTCTTTTATAATATTTATTTTTCTAACATATTTTTTATATAATAAGATATAAAATATAATTATAATATGTTTAAATTGATTAAATTATATTATAAAATATTTTTTTTAAAAGTCGAAACTAACTAAGAATAAAAAATAAAAACTAATTTAATAGAAAAATAAATCTTCTATTAATATATTTTTTAATCCATTTTAATAAAAATATTTATTAACATAATTATTTTACAATAAATAATAACGAAATTTAAAAATCATTTATTTTTTAATATATATTTTCATTTAAATAAGAATATGATATTTTATTTTTTAAATATATAATAAAATGATTTAAAATAAAAATTTATGTAATAAAGTTGAATTATTTCTAATAATTATCATTTATTTTATTATTTTAAATATAAATTATAAATTATAATATTTATATTATTTCTATTTATTGCTTAAATATTATGCTATTTTAAATATAATATGTATGCAATATTTATATAATTATTAATTAAATATTAAATATAAACAAATAAATATTTTATATTTTTTTGTTTCTATTAATTAATTTATATTTTATTTATTATAAATTTATTTAAAAATTAAAATAATAAATTAAAAATTATCAAATAAAATTTTAAATAAAAAAAAATTGATATGTTATAATAATCTATTTAATTAATGAAAAAAAATTTTTAATATGTTTTAATTACTAAAATTATATTTAAATTATAAACATTAACTTTTATTAGTATAAATTATTATTTTCATCTGAATGAAATATACTATATGTTTAAAGATAAAAAACAAATAAAATTAAAGTTTGTTTATTAATATTTTTTTATAAAAATATCTATTTTTTTTTTGCTAAAAATATAAAATATACTAATAACAAAATGATTTTAAAAAAAATAATGATATACATATTATTGGTTTGTTTAATATTTTTTATAATATAATTTTTATAAATCAAATCCTAAAAATTTTATAATTTTCTGTATGTAACTCTAAATTATCTACATATCTTTAGAAAGGTTAAACCATGTTATAGCAACTGTTTAACTATAAAGAATATTCAGCCAATCCTTTCCATAATTTAGAATATTTAAGCTATTTTAAATCCCCAACTACAATAAGAGAAAGCCTGGCTCTACTTAGGCTAACATTCATTCTTCTCTTATCATTTAAAAAGCCTATTGTTTTTTTATTATTTTTTACCCCATTTTAAATGCTTGCTCTAACAGTTGAAAATATAATAATATCTTTTTCTCTGCCTTAAAAACCATCTACTGTGTGCACTTCTACAAGACATTTGTCGGTTCCGTCAAATTATTTTATTTTTCTACGAATTTCACTAACTTGGGATGAATAAGGAGTTATAATTCCTAATTATGTTAAATCGAATGACGGAAACCTTTTCTTTAATTAAGCATATATTTCAACAATTGCTTCTGATTCTTCCTCATTTTTATAGGATGATTTATGAAAAATTTCATTTCCCTAAATAAATTAAAAAACATAAAATTAGTGAAAATTAAATTAATAAAATATAATTTTTTAGTGATATTTATAATGCATTATTTTTTTATATATATTAAAATCGATTAAGTTTTTTATTACGTTAACATTCAAAACTACTATAGGTGAGAATATTCTAAATTAATAGAATTCCGGATTTCCGACTATCTCCTTTATTTTTTGAGCATCATCAATTTTTCCTTCATAAAAAGTGTTTGAAATAAATTTGCTAATAATTGGATTCATTCTATATTATTACTTTAAAATAAAATAAAAGTTAAACTTGTTGTCTTATAAATGATTTTTACTTTTAACATATAAACATTTAATCCACATTTCATTAACCTCTCAAAAAGACTTTAATCATAATTAAATTTTTCGCATTTTTTAGAAAAAATTGTAGCAGGTAATTAATTAGGATCTCCAATTAAAATTAATCTTTTACAGTGATACTAAAGCGGAATAAGAGTGCTTATTTCTGCAGCTTAAGCAGCTTCATCAATGATAACAGTATCAAAATACTAAATTATTTATTTTATTAAAAATAAATATATAAATAAAAAAAATACAAAGTTTGAATTTATTAATAACTAAGAACCTGCAGAACTTAATGTCCCACAAATAATTTTAGCTTCTTAGAGTATTTTTTTTCTTATGTTTTCTGCTTCTTCAGCCCTTAAATTCATTTCTCCTAATTTTTGCTTTACTTGATATTCAAGGGAAATATCTTCAAGTGCTCTATCAAAATTTTCTCCTATTCGAACAATCATATTATTATTAGGAAAATATTATTTCCCATTTTTATCTAAAAGTCCTTCGCTTTTAACTTTTCTTACAATTTCGTCTATAGCAGCATTAGAAGGTCCACAAATAAGAATTGTTTAAGGAGGAGTATGTTCTTCTTAAGTTTTAGAAACAGATATTTGTTCTCCTTACATACCAGCAGTTACAAAACCTTTACTTTTCGTAAAATTAGAAAAATCTGGTTTTATATTTGCAAAACATTAGTCTCTCCAATCACAATAATTAGGTTGCATCCAAGCCATAACTTTCTTTTCATCGAACTCTCCTTAATTAATTACAAACTTACTTTCTTAAGTTACTTTTTTGCTTACTTATTTGTTAAAAGAGTTTATTAAAACTGAAACAGTACCTAGTACTGTTCTTGTCTTTCCAGTTCCTGGAGGGCCTTGTATTAGTGTGATTCCTTCCTTTCTTAAAGTGGCTTTAATTGCTTCTATTTAAGATAGATTATAAGTTTCTTACAATTTTATTTCTAAGTTTTCAGAAATTGCAAATTATTCATGCACTTATTTTAAAAGTTTTTAAGGCGTTATTAAATATTCTTTTAATTCTATCTTTCCAAAAGCTTAGAGTGCCTTTTTAAAAATTAATATTAATAAATAAAATATATATTACTTCATATTCTCTTTAAATAGTGACTATATTACAAAATTTTTTAACTTACCAAAAACGCCAGACATTTTCATCATCTTAAGTGAAAATTTGACATAATTTCTTATTTCTTATATCAGTTCCGAATTCGTCAAAAACTACTTTGACATTTATTTAGTTTCCTTGTGCTCTTTCAACAACTCCTAGCATATGTTCAGGAGAAATTTCATTCTTTATTTTATTTAATTATATTATATTATATTATATTTTATTTTAAAATGTATTTTTATTTTATTATTTTACTTCAGTTAAAGATAATAAAACAAAATCATGTGCAACATATTATGTTTAATTTATTTCTAATCTTTCGAGTTTTAAAGTTCTGAAAAATAGGCTTTCATTATTTTTATGCTTTTTTTGCGTGCTTGATAATATTCTCATTTTTTCAGGAGCAGATCCCTTATTGTTATTTTTTTTAAATAATATTTTTTTTATAGAAATATAATACATTATTCCTTTCTTACTTCTTATATTTAAGCTTTTTGAATTTGTGATTTTGCTTCTGTAAATAAATGTAATTCGAAAGTTTTTATATAATCTTCAGTATCATTAAATTAAAGTGGTATTTTTGCTAAATTACTATATTCTTTGGGTTTTTCCATATTTTGTTTCAAATCTACATTTTCTAAATTATTTTCTACATCATTTTTTAAATTTTCATTATCTCCTTCTATATTAACATTGATGTTTTCTATGGTTTCATCGAAATTTATATTATAATCTCTAGAACATAAATAATAATGAAGTCCATCGAGAATTCTTTTGCGATTAGTATCATTATATTCTTCTTCTTCCATCGTTTTATTAAAAAGATAAATAAAATAAAAAGATATAAATTAAAACTAAATATATATATATATATTTAAAAAAATTAAATTAAATTATGTATTGTTTAAATAAAAAAATTATGAATAGTATAAATAAAAAATTATTTATATTTTATTTTTTTATGCTAAATAATTTATAATTAATTTTATTTTATTTGAAAACTAATTATTTGCATTATTTTTTATTTGAATTTCTTTACATAATATAACTCTAATACTCATCTTAATTAATTTTTTATAATTTATATATTTATTATATATTAATTTGGTTTTATAAATTTTCATTTATTTATTCTTTTCTTATATTTGCATTTATATTATATTATATTATATATTTCGATAATAATTTTGAATATTTATTCTTTTAGTAATATTTTAATGTCTTAAAGACATAATATATTTTGGTTTCTAATTTAGATATTATAAATTTGTATTCATTTATAAATATTTATAATCATTTATAATATAATAATTACTATAATTAATATTTAATTTATAAATAGACTAAAATTTTTGTTTTATATACTCACAAAAAATTTTATGTTTTGCAAACTCAAATGACTTTTATATATTAGAAATAAAAAAAAATCATAGTCATTTCTTTTAATAAAAGCAATTATTTTTAATTTATTTTAGAATTAATTTTAAAAACTTATTTAATAAACATATTTATATTACATTTTAACATTATTTTTTAAAATATTTATCTAATTTAATTTTAAAATATAATTAACTTAAAAAAATAAATAAAAGAAAATGTATTTATATTTTAAAAAAAAAACACACAGAATAATCAAAAAAAAAATTTAAAAGATGTTCACAGAGCAAATAAAAATAAAAAAATCTTCACCCTTTAATAATAAAAGAATAAATAATTATAAACCTTTTAATTTGAAAAAGGCTTATTTTTGTCTTTTCATAATAAATCAATCTATCTAAATATATGATAATAATTAATATTTAATTTATTTATTTAATTTAATATACTGAGAAAATATTTCGTTGTATCCTAAAAAACTTAAAAGTTTCATAAAATAACTATGTTAATAATCTACATATTTTCTTGATAATTTGTATTATTATGTATTAAAGTTATAAATATAATCACAATTAACGATTAGATTTGTATAAAAAAGGCCATACAAATAAAAAAACATTTGATAGTATATTATTTTTCTTAATCAAATATTATATTAAATAGATTTTTAATAGTATTTAATTATACATACATATCTTTAAGATATAAGAATATTATTAATTATATATTTCCTAATAGATTTTTTGTTTAAAAATATAAAATATATTTATAAGAAAATAAATTAAAAAATTAAATATTGAATAATAGATAATATATAAATTTAAGAATGAAAAATAAAACTCTTTATGTTTAAATTTCAATTGTATTAATGAAAATAAATACATAAAGTTAAATTAGTTAATGATTATTAAAAAATTTTATTACTTTTTATATAATTAATTTAAAAAAATGAATTAAAATAATATTTGGTTTATTATTTAAATAAAAAAATGAAAAAAAACATAATCTTTTAAAATAAATAAATGAAAATAATTCTTTAATTATAAAAATTTAAAATATTATTTGTTTTTGTAATATATTTAGCATTTTTACTATAAAAATATAAATAATATTTTATAATTATGATTATATTTTTCTATTAAAATTTTTTATTATATATTTATTTTATTTTTTCAAAACAATTATTTAAAGCAAATGTTTATTAATTAAAATAAATCTTATTCAACCTTATTTAAAGATGAATTTTTAGAATAATTTTAAAATAAACTATGAATTTAATTAACGAAATTTTTATTGTGTGAAAAACAGAAGCAATAGTAAATGTAATAAAATATTTTTTCATCTTGATTTATATTTGTTGATTCTATTTAATTATGAAATGTTGATAGAATATTTTCTTAATCGAATCTTTTAAAGAAAAATTCATTATCAACATCAAAATATTAACTTAGTATTTTTTTAAGCTTTTATCTATAATTTTCTTAAACTATTATTTAATTTAAATCGTCATAAGAATTTACATATTCAATTGGCAGATTATTATTATATGTTAGATTATAATTTTATATTTATAAAAGCTATATATTATCGCATAGTCTGTTTATAAAAGCATTAAGGTTAGAATTATTTAAAAGACATTATTCAAAATCTTATAAAATTTTTTTTTTTCATTTAATTATAAAAAATCTTTTGGTTAAACATCTATTGAATTTATTTTATATTTCATTTTTTGAAAATCAAAACCTTTAATTTTTTCATGAAGATAATTTAATATAGATTCAAATTCTTTTAACTTTTTAGAAAAATTTCTTTAGTATTTTTCTTTTATTGAATTCTCAATTTTCGGGATTTTTTTTATTGTTTAATTACAAATTGTAATTTCTGATTTATTTTCAGTGTTTTCTTCTTACATTTTATCAATTTATTTTACAAATTTTTCATTCATTTTAGAAGTTATTTTCATTATTTCTTCTTTTTTTTTACATATTAATAATTTTTCAAAAGCTTATAATTATTCTTTATATTCTTATTTTTTTAAATTCTAATCAAGGCTTAAATCTTGAAAATTCTAAAAAATCTCACTTTGTATTTACATAATTGATTCATATTAGCTTTTTATTAATTCATAATTATTTTTTATTTGATAATTTATATGATTTAATTATATTATCTGATAAATAAATTTATTTAAATATATTTAATTTTATTTTATATTTTATATTTTTTACTTTTTAAGTTAATTATTTTATTTAGATATATTATTGATTAATTTTTTCATCTTTTTATTTATTTATAATTATTATTTATTCTATTTATTCTAATAATAAATCTTTTAAATTTACCTTCTTTTCTTCTATCAAATCGTTTTCTGAACAAATAAAATTCCTTAAAATAAAAACAATAAAAGATTAAGAGTTTAAAATATAAATAATATTTTTAATTATATATATGAAACAATTCAATTATATATATAAATTTAGTTTATTAAAAACTATTAATGTATTTTAATTTAAATATAATAATTTATTGTTTTGGTTAAAAAAGTAATACTTTATGTTTTTTTAAGAATTTATTAATTTGTCTAATTATTAAAATACAAATTCTAATTTTATTTCATACAGATGACTTTTTTATTACTTATTTATTCTTTAAGATGTATTCTATGATTTGTTTATTTAAGATTAAAAGAATTAAATTTGATTGCTTTGTTTATATATAAATATATATATATATAATAATTATTTTACTTGCAAAAATCTTATTATATATCTATTGGATTTTATTAATTTTAATAAGTATTTAATTATTTTAATAACATTTTATTCTATTCATCAAATTCAACTTAATTTTTTTTGTATTTTATTTTTTATTTTTTTTGTTAAGAATTTAAATTATGCAGTTAATCTTAAAATTTTTAATTTTATTAGCTTATTACTTTAATTATTTAATACGCCTTTAGAATAGCGTCGTCTCTTTTTTAAATTTTTTATTCTAATTTAATTTAAATAATTTCATCTTAATCATCTGGAATTTAATTTTTTCGAATCTCTTAAGATGATTTTAAAAGTAAAAATTCTAAATCATTTATTTTTTCTTTTAATTATTCATTTTCTAAAATTAAAATTTCATTTTTTTTATCTTTTTCCATCATTTATAAAAATAAATTATTTGAACAATGATTTTAAGAATTTAATTCAATATTATTTTATTCAATCATTTATAATAATGCTTAGATATAAATATTATTTTTAAATAAATATAATATATATTTATATATTTAAATAAATATAATATTATTATATATATATATATTATATAAATTTTATATTATTCATATATATTATTATTCGTTAATAAATAAAATATAATTCTACATTTTAATTAATTAATTTTTATTTAATTTAAATATAATTTAAAAATGAATTAAAACCTTGATTTTTTAAATTTAAAATAATTTACTTCATATGATTATTCTAATGTAAATAGAAAAGTAATACAAATATAAATTATATAATCTTAATTTATATATTAATCTATAGATCGAACTAGATGCAGGTGAAGCTATTTAAGTTTCTTGTAAATTATAAAACAATTTTTAAATTTACAATAGAATATGTACAAAAATTTATAATGTACAAGATAATTTTTTTAATTTATATTTTTCTTATTTTATTTTTATTTAAAATAGCCTTATAATTTTTTGCCTTTAGTATCATTTAAATTTTATAGAAGAAAATTTATATTGATTCATATAACAATAACAATTTTATGCATTTCATTAAATCAGGATATTACTTCTAAATAAGATATGTAAAAAATAAATATATTTGTTATTAAATTATTATTTACAAGAATAAACTATTTTTATATGTTTTTAATTCCAATTTTAATCTCTTAAATAATTTACTTATTATTAGAATATGTTTTGGAATAAAGAAAAAGCCTCTTTGATCTATTAAAGAATAATAAAGAATGTTCTGTATTTATAAAATTTCGCAAAAAATAAATCTAAAAAAATGCTGTAAAATTAATTGTAAAAAAGAAATGGTCTGAAATTGAAGTATTTTTAAATTATATATAAAAAAATATAAAAATATAAATAGATAGCTGATATTGTGATCTTAAAATAAAATGAAGAATGTCCGAGTGATATTTTAATTTTAGATTCATCTGGAAAGTAATGTATAATAGATACAAGCTTAATCACGGAAAACACTGAATATGAATATAAATCAATTTTAAAATTAACTAAATGTTAATCATAAAAAAAATATTTAAAAAAAAAAAAAAAAATTAAAATATTAAAAAAAAAAAAAAGCTGATGAAAATTCTAAGCACAAGCGAACTCTTTTATAGTTTCGTAAACTATTAAAAGGAAATCTAGAATATTCAAAAAGCAAAGAATAAATACGTGGATATATAAAATTATCTAAAGATCCTTAAACAGATTTATTTACTAACGAAAATATAATATTTAGAGGATCTATTTTAAAAGAAGAATGGGCTATTGGTATTGTTTTATATACAGGACTACAATGCTAAATATATTAAGATGTAAATAATAGATAAAAGAATGAAAACAATTCGATTTTTTGGAATAAAATATAGTTTTTTTGTATTTTTAATTATTTGCTCTTCATTCCTATTTTGATTGTTTCAATAGTCAATTAATAAATGTCTAAATGCTATATAATTTATAGTTAAAAATAAATTTAATTTTTTACATTATAAAGATTAGTTGTTTTAATTTCAGATTCTTTACCTTTATTCCCTATATTTATTTATTTTTTCATAGACTCGCTTCTTTTAATAGAAATTTTATGCTAAAATTATTAATTACAATAGGGTAATTTATCTTCTTTAAATGAAATAATATAAAAAAAAATAAAAAACTTTATTTTTTGGCCATTTTAAGTTTTTAAAAAGGCTTATTTAAATAACCCTTTAATTCCAAGTTATAGAATAAGGGAAAACATGTTACTTGCAGATTTATAAAATATAAACTATGCAATAATAGGAGAAATCTCTAAAGATTTTAATTAAAACTAACATATTTGTGAATTAATAATTGGAGCTTAGACTTATTAATTTTCTGATTAGGTAAATTTAAGAGAGAAATATTTAAACGCTATTAAAAATTTAAATAATAAATAATAAGACTTTAAATAAAATAGATAATAAAATTAAAAACACTAATAATAAGAAATAAAATTTGTAGTAAATAAAAATAATAAAAATGGTTCTTTATTAGTTTGCAAAAGTGAAAATTTAATAAATTTTGAAAATGTATAAACCTTTTCTAAAAACAATGAAAAAGTAAAATAATAACGGGATGAAAATACTAGCTAAAAAACTAAAAAAGTAATAAAAAATATTTAAAAAATAGATGATTCTTAAGCAGGTTAGTATGAATAGAAATTTCTTCATGATAGTATATCATATAATGGATTAGAAGAAAATATAATTATAGACGAATCTCTTTAAATAGGTCCATTATAATTTAAAATTGTCAAAAGTAATGCCTAAGTATTTAGAAATGGAAAAGATGAAACTGATAGTAATAATCATAAAAACCATTAAATAAAGTATTTTGATGAATTATTGTATAAAAATGAATATAATTAGAGTTAATAAATAAATAATTATGAAATATAATAAAATTATGATTTAATTTAATAATAATTTTCTAATACAAATAAATAAAAAAATGTGTTATAAATAAGAAAATAATAAAGGTTTAAATTTCAAGATTAATATTTAAATATATAAAGCCACTAAAAATATTAAAAAAATGAATATTCAGATAATTTTATGTTAGATAACAATATAAAAATACATAAAGAGTTTAATTTAAGTCAAAGTAATCATTAATTAGATTTTTTAAAAATTGAAAAAACCAACTTTCCAGAAAAAATATATTCTAATGTCTTATTAGATGGGTTAGAAATTAAAAGTCCGAAATTGAATACAACTGATAAATACATTAATATAAGGAAAAATTCTTTAAAATAGTTGACTTTTTAGTAAAGGAAAAGTATCTCTTCCAATAAAAATACAGAATCTTTAAATAATTTTAGTTTTTAAAATATTTAATAAAAAAAAAGAAATTAATCTTTGAAAATTATTAATAACAAAATTTTAGAAAATAATATTTCAAATTTGGATGAAAAAAGTAATTAACATCAATTAGAATTTAATAAAATTAATTTCAAAGACAATAAAAAGTCATAAAAAATACGAAGTTCATATTCGAATAAATAAAGTGTAATAATAAAAAATATATTTTAAGCATATATTATTAAAAATAGATTGAAATTGATAATAACTAGGTAACAAAAAATCTTATAATAATACTAATATATAAAATTAATTTAATAATATTATTTTTATTTTATACAATTTTTATCAAAAATGTAATATGGAATATTGAAAATTATTTAGATGCTTGATATTTTTTAAATTTATAATATATATTCAATTTAATATATTAAAACATTTTTTTTTAATTATTTTTTTAGAATGAAAACAATTTTATCAATGATCTTATAGATTAAAAATAAAATAAAAGCATCTAGAAAGCATTAAAATGTATGGCATTATGTCATTAAACAGTCTCAAAATATAATACTTAAAATAAATAGCTTGTATAAAACAGTTATGATATAGATGAGCAATTAATTCTGAATTTTACTTCTAATTTTGACTATATGTTTATGTGTAATTCAATTAAAAAGGGGAATAATTAATTATAAAATTAATTTTTGCTTTAAAGAGAATATGTATTAAAGATTAAATAAGAAATAGAAACTTACGAAATATTAGCAGTTAATAGAAAGAAAGATAGGCTCAGTATATTAATTAAAACTTAAGAAGGTTCAGAATTAATAATGAAAGAAGATCTAAAATATGTTCCAAATTATATTGATTATTAAAAAGATTAATTAGCTTAAATTATTCATAATAATACAAAGCAAGGAATAAGGAGTGTGATGTACACTAGCAAAGTTTTAGATGAAACTTAAACTTAAAATTTTAAAACTTTTTATTCTTAATTATGCTCTAATATAGTAAATTAGAAAGAAGCTATTAAAAATGTTTTTGATTAATTAGAAAACCAAGATGGCTCAATGGACTTTATTTGCATATTAGGAATAAAGAATAAATTAGATGTATATATGTATATTTTAAATATTTTTTATAAAAATAAAATAAAAATATTACTTAAAATAGAATTACATGTGCCTTCTTTTAGAAAATCTTCGAAAAAATAAAATTAAAACTTGGATGCTTACTGGATAATAATATACAAAAGCATTACCTACTGCTTATTAATGCGAATTATTATAGGTAGATAAAAAACTTGAAAATATATTTTTTGATAGTACAGATTATGATGATTTAAAACTTTTAATTAAAAGAAATTTAGAGAAGCTTTAGATTTAGTTTATAGGTTTATTATTATATTAATTATTACTTTAACACTTTTTTTTTTTAGGTGTTGAAAATAACAAATATTCTGCTTTTTCAACTATAAAAAATCATGAATATTAAAGGAGAAAATCCAGGATAATTAATTTAGATAATGATTTAGAATCTCAGATTTAATTTCAAATTATAATTAAAGGAGATACTTTAGATTTAATTTTGAAGGATCCTATTTATTTAAGAAGTCACTTTTTATTTTTATCTCATTTTTGCAAATTTCTTGTTGCATATGAAATAAGTTCCTCTACTAAGTAACTACTTATTAATTTATTATAGATTTAGAATACTAATAATAAGTTTTTATCTATTTCAAATGATATATCACTTTCAAACTAAGTTGATTTTTCTATTATGGTTTAGAATTAATATAATTAATGTTTTGGTGATGTTTCTATTAGAAATTTTAAGGATATATATAAGCTTATTTTTATTCATAGTAGACGATAAGCTGATTTTATAAGTATTTTGATTAATTTATAAATTTATAGATAATTTTTTCTATACTTATATTCCTTTCTTAATATTTAATATAATTGCTTGGAAGGATATTCTTTTCTTTAACCTGTTGAAATCTTCATTTATAATTTTTTTATTAACTTTTTTTCTATGATACCTATATTTAATTATTATTTCAATCCTAAAGTCCCTAATGATATAGGTAATATAAAAATTAATAAATACAAGAAAAAAAAAAAAAAAAATAGTTATTGACGAAAATAACATTTTATTTAATATTTAGAAACAGTACTTAACTTCAAAGTAGTTCTGGATTAAAACTTAAATTTTTACTTATTTTAAAATCTTTTCAGTTTCTTTAATTTAATCTTTAGTTCTTTTTTTGGTTTCATCTTTTGTTTTTTAGGTTTAATCTATTTAAGGAAAAAATATAGGATATTAAACAATAGGCATATTAACATATTTATAATAATTATTTATAATTCAGTGCTAGATAGCTAAATTTATACCTTCTAATTCACTGATTAATATAATATATTAAATATTCTTATTTTTTATTTATAGTTTCATTTATATTTTTGTTTTAGAAAAAAATAATAATATAAAAGCATTTGGGGAAATAATAGAGTTTTTCAGTGTGTTTTATACCAACTTGGTGTTTTTTTCATTTCTGATTTTGAATGTCTTTATTTTTGATATTTTTGATTTTGTAATTTATTTAATTCCTATAACATTGAATATTTCTATTGTAAAAATAAGAAAAATATTTGAATGGTATTAAAATAAGTATTCAATTTTAAATCGTTTAAAATTATTTGATTAAATAAGAAAAAATTAGAAAAATAATTATCATTTAAGTCTAGTTAATATAATAAGATAATATTTTAAAGGAAATAGCGAGATAGATGAGTTAATTTAATAAAGTAATTTTTAAATTAAAAAAAATATAATTTTTAATCAAAAAGTGGTCAATATTAACTTAGATAATGTTTCTTCGGAAATGAATGCCATTTCACTTACTTTTATAAATAAAGACTTAGAAAATAAATATATTAGAGTTAGCATTTAGAATTGGCTATATTTTGGTAGATTTATAAGCATTTTCTAATTTTTAACTATAGATTTTTTTTTTTTACTAATATTTCTACTTGGACAATTTCAATTACAAATAGACAATTATTTAGTATATTATAATATTATAAAATATTTATTTATATTATTTAATTATAAAGATATTAATTCTAATTTTAACAACATTAATTTTTATTTAAGTTTTATTAAGTATTTCAAAATATTTTGAGAATTTATTTATATTTTCAATTTACAGTTTATTCTTGATGCGAGTTATTTATTTTATTCTAATTTTAAAAGTTATAGAATTATATGAAAGTTTTATTAATTTTGCAAATTTTGTGTATATCTTATACTTTATGCTTTAAATTAGAGTAGATATTTAGATTTTTATTTATTTTTCTTTAGCTATTTATAATTGTATAAATTTCACATATACTCTTTTAAATGATAATAATTATATTTAAATAAATATACAATATAAAGTATACTACATTATAAATACAATATCATTCGTTTTTTTGAACATGATTTTTATTTCTATTTATAAATACAGACATTCCTAATTTGATAGGTTATAATATTTATCTGAAAATAAAATATAATTAGAAATGAAAAAGTTTTCAGATGTTCTTTCTATATTATTACCTAAATTTATCCGTGAATAAATTTCAAGCGAATAATCTTGTAGTATAAAAATTGAAAATCAAATAGCCATTATATTTTGCGATATTTATAATTTCGATGAAATTATTGCTAAGTAAAATGTTGAAGTAGTTAAATTATTAGATAATCTTTTCCGTGCATTTGACATACTATGTACTCATAATAATATTCAAAAAATAGAAACCGTTGGTAAGACCTATATGGCTTGTGCAGGAATTTAGTAAAGTAACCATTAATAAGTTAGTGAAGGAAGATATGATGAAACTAATGCAGTTAGATGTGCAATAAATTTTGGATTTCAAATATTAGAATATACTAATGCACTTACATTTGGTGATGAAGGTTAAAAAATTATTTTTAAAATAGGAATTCATTTTGGTTAAGTTATTGCAGGAGTTATAGGCTATCATAAACCTTAATTTTCACTTATTGGAGATACTGTTAACACTTCTAGTAGAATTTGTATTACTTCTGAACCAGGTGTTTTAACTTTATCAGAAGATGCTTAATAGTAAGTTTAATTTAATAAAGATTTAAGTTTTATTTAAAAAAATGTTGAAGCAAAAGGAAAAGGTTTTTTAATTACTTTCTAAGTTTTCTAAAAAAAAGCTTATCCAATAAAGAAAAAAGAAAAGTCTTTATTTTATTGTTAAAATCGTATTAAAGAATAAAATGATTCATAATCTATATTATATAATATTTTAGATATCAAAGAATAAAAAATCATTAAAAATAATAAGCCAGAATAATTTTTATTTAATAATAATTCAAATAAATAATAAAAAACAATTATATTAAATAATCAAAAAAATGAAGAAATATCAAAAAAATTAAATAAAAATAAATTTAAAATTTTTAAAACTAATTATTCACATAAAATAATTCAAAAGACAAATCCATTTAATCATATTTAAGAAAGTGTTAATATTCTAAATAATTAAAAAGATACACTTGCAAATGTACTTAACTATATAAAAGATGATTAATCAATTACTTATATTGATAAGATATTAGAAAATAAAAATACATTAAATTAAATGAACTAAAAATAAAATAAAAATTATTTGATAAAAAATAATAAATAAATGCCTATTACATTAAAAAATATTGTAGTTAATGATAATATAATGTCAAGTATTGTTTATAATACTAAACTTTAAATGAATAATAATTTAAGTAGAATATATAAAAATAAAATAACATTATAATAAAACTTCTTAAGTGATAAACAAAGCATAAATAATAATAATAAGATTATTTTAGGAAATAAAATTGACAATAAAATATAAGGCTTTAAATATTATAATCAATAAGAATCTATTAGAAATAGAAATACTTCTACTCTTCATAAAAGAATCTCTGAGTATACTATAAGATCTCAGAATATATCTAGATTAACAAAAATTACTTATGATTCTATAATTCCTTAAAGAGAATGTATTTTATTATAAACATATATTAATAATAAATATTTTATAAATAAAAAAGAGTCAATATGTATTTTTTAGTAAAGTTCATCATAAAACACCATTAAGGATTCAAAGTAGAAATAAATAAATTTTTAATATAAAAATATATTTTATTTTTTTATATTAATTTAGAAGTATTCATGAAACCAATAATGCTGATTCTTTTAATAGCATGACATCAAAATTTTTTATTTTTTAGTTTGAAGATATAAAAAGAGGAATTATTGTTGAATAAACTAAGAATTAAGATGAAGATAATTATATAAGTAGTGAATAATTGAAGTAGTTATATAAAGATTCATAAAATAATTAATAAAATGAATAAAAAAATATAGATTAATATAATTTAGATTTTAAAAATTGTTTTTTTTTCAAAACAACAAAACAAAAATAGGATTTAGTAAATGAGTTTTTTATAAACTAAATATATAATTTTTAAGCAAATACATAAATATAATTATGGATATGGTATGTATTTATGATTTTTAAGATAATATCTTGTTTATTTGTGAGTAAATAGTTATCATTTGAATATTTTATAATTTAGATAATAATTCGTTTCATTTTTTAAATGATTTATACTATTTTTGTGCTTAAATATAAATATATACTTTAAAAATATCCTTTATTAAAAATAAAAGTAATTATATATTGTCTATATTTACTTCAATATATTATATTTATTTACGAAACATCTGGTATGTAACTAAAAGGAGGAAAAAGCTTTTCTTCTAGTCTATAATCTGCAGAAGCTCTTTTTTTTATTTTTAACATATACATAATTTAGTTTTTAAGTTTTTATTGAAAAAGTAATTCATTGCTTTAATTTGATTTTTATTGAATTATTTATTTCATTTCTTAAAAAAGGGTATTTTCAATTATTTACTTTCATTTTCCTTACAATTATTAGTTCCTGTTATCATCTCATTATGCATTATTTAATTCTAAACTTTCAAATTAAGCATTTTAATAATTAAAGAAATTTAGAATTTAAAAGGCATTTGTATAAAAGATTCCTAGTAAATCTTTTGCCCTCCCATATAATGGAATAATTACTTTATAGTGACTAGTAAATATAACTTACTGAAAAACTTGAATAAACAACTCTGCTTTTTGCTGATATAGCTGGTTTTACTAAATACTGTTCTGGTTAAGAACCGGAGAAAGTACTTAATATGTTATAAAATATATTTGTGAGTAAAACAATAAAAAACAATCATTAAATATTATTATTTTGTTTTTATATTTTTAACTAAAAAAATACAAAAAGAATTCGATTAATGTTGCGTGATACATAAAGTATATAAAATTTATACTATAGGAGATTGCTATGTAGTTATGGGAACTATAAATGCAAAATAAGGAAATCCGGAAAATGAAGCAAAAAATGTTATTGATATGGGCTTTTCAATGATAGAACATATCTAAGTATCTTAAAAATAAGGCTTTCCAGATATTGATATGCGAATAGGAATTCATACTGGAAATATAATCGGAGGAGTTATTGGAGCAGATATTGTTAGATATGATATATATGGGCCTGATGTTCTAATTGCAAATAAAATGGAGTCTAATGGAGAAAAAGGCAGAATTATGATAAGTGAAGAAACTTATAAACTTATAAATGGTAATGTTAGTGATTAATACATATTTGAAGAAAGAAAATAAGGTGTAGAAATAAAAATACTTAATAAGCATATTAAAGCATATTTTGTTTAAGAAAAAAAAAAGATTATAGTGTATAAGAGGAAGATGAATCGCAAAATTAATAAAAAATTCCATAATATAATTAAAATATTTAAAACTAAATGCTATTATAAGATATTTAAGAAAATATAAAAGAAGATATTTGATGAAATAAATCTTTTATTAAAAATTCAATATTATATATGTATTTAAATAAATCATTATATATTTTGTAATATATTATAAAGCATTTAATTTTAACAAAACCTATTAAATATTTTTTTTAAAATTCCATTAATTTTATAATTAATTATGGATTTTAAAATAATTTTAATATTTAATATGTTCTATTTTGATAAGAATTATATTCTTTTTTAACATAAAAAAACAAACAATTAATGATTTTATTCTTCCAGATTGTCTTATTTATATATTTTATTACTTAGTAAACATTTATTAAAATAAGCTATCAATTGGTATAGAAAAAGTTTAAAAAGTTGTGATATCAGCAAAACCGTAAATTACTTCCAAGTTACCAAACTAAATATTAGTTTTTTTGTTTATTTTAAATTTGTTTGAAGATAGAAAAACTTAAAATCTTAATTAAAGTTTATTATGCTTTTTATTTCTTATTAAGTCCATTTTTTTTCTCTCAACATTTTTATTATAAAAATCTACCCTTTTTCAAAATCTTGCTTTCATCTTCATAATCATTTAGGAAATAATTTTCCTAAATACTATTAGTATATATATTCTAAATACAAAATATAATCTATTAAATCAGAAATATTGTGAAAAGGATTTAGATTCATGAGATTTTTTCTGAAATGTAACTTATTTCTAAATAAATATATTTCTATATACTCAAAAAAAGAATTTTTAATCAAATAAATTTTACAGTTTGATAGGAATAATGAGTTATTTAAAATATAAATATTTTCTGATTCTTAAACTAGATTCTAAAAAATTCGATATTGAAATTTCTCTTATTTATAAAATTTTCATTTATGATTTTAATGATATTATATACCATAATTAAAAAAATAAAATCGGATATTTATAAATAATTAAAAAAAAGGTTAATTAGTTATAAATTTATATTTAAAAAAAATAAAAAAATTTAAAAAGCATCATCTTTTTTGAAATTTCACTCAGTACATCCTTATTTAAGATTAAAAAAAATACTAATTTATTTTTTACAGATAAAAAAAAAAATTAAAATAATTAATATTATATAAATGATAAATAACATAAATTAATAACATATTTTATAATAAGAAATTATAAATTTTTAAAATACTTATTTAATATGTTAATTTTGCAATTATTTTTATAAAGTAATAATTGTAAAAATTAATTAATTTTTAGTATAAAATATTTTTATTTAATATTTTAATTTTAAATATCTTTTAATTTTTTAATTAAAATAATAAAATAAATGAATACTTAATTATTTTCAAAAATTAAAAACTTTATTTTAGGATTATTTTTTGTAATTTTAATAGCTGTTATAATTATTTTATACTATTGGAGTCCATAATATTCTGGAGAAATAATTCATAATTATAATTATTAAAATGTATATATATATCGAGATAAGAATGGAATCCCTCATATAAAAGCTTAAAATTTATAATCATCATTTTTTGGTTTAGGTAAAACAAAATAATTTTTAAAATAGAAAAAAAATTAAAACAAAAAGGATATGTACATTGTCAAGACAGATTATGGAATATGGATATATATAGAAGATTAGCAAGTGGAAAAATGAGTGAATTATTCGGAAACTCAACTTTAGAAATGGATATTATGTTTCTTGAGCTCGGACTTAATAGAGCCGCTAAAAATATTATATCTTAAATTTCTCCTGAAACAATAATTAATTTATAAGCATATACAACGGGAATTAATGAATGTAGTTAAAAAATGAATGTTTTGCCTTTAGAATATTAAATAACCAGAACAAAGTTTGTTTAATGGGAGTTATTAGATTCTTTGTATATAATGAAACTACTCTCCTTTTAATTAACTTTGGATTGGTAATTTGAGTTAATCCGAGAAAAACTTAAAATTATATACGGTAGAGATGTTGCAGGAAAGATGTTTGCTGGAGAAGATTTATTTGACGAATATACAATTATGAATGACGACGAGTTAAAAAAATAAAACCTTTTTGAAGAAGAAGAAAATTAAAATTAAAAACAGCAAAAACATTCTCTGACATCATCTTAAATTAAAGCAATTCTAAACACTGGTATTGTTGACTATCTAATAGAGCCAAGAGGCTCGAATGCATGGGTAATCCATGGAAATCATACTTCTACTGGAAAACCAATAGTTGCAAATGATCCTCATTTAGATAATTCTATACCTTCTATATGGTATTAAGCACTAATTTCTTATGACTCACATGTTATTTAAGGAGGTTCTATGCCTGGGATAGGATTAATTTTAAGCGGAATGACAAATTATGTGGCTTGGAGTGTGACAACATCGTATAGTGATTCTTCAGATTTGTATTTAGAAAAACTAAATTAAGAGAAAACTGAATATTTTTACGAAGGCGAATGGAGAAAACTTAATATAATTTAGGAAACTATTAAAATTAAAGGAGTAGAAGAAAAATTTTAATTGTTAATAAGAAATACACATAGAGGACCTATTTTATCTACTCCTAATTTGAAAAAACTGAACATTGAATATAAAGAGGAACTAGATTTATCTTTTTCATGGGCAGCAAGTGGAGTAATTGATACTAATTTTGATGCTATTATTAATATCTATCATGCTAATTCTTTAAATTAAGTTGTAAATTCATTAAAAATGATATCTTCTGCATATTTAGCTGTTAATTTTGGTACTGTGGATAATGATATTGGATTTATAGGTACTGGAAGACATCCAATTAGAAAATTTAATAATCAAGGGGCCTTTTTAAAAAATGGAACTACTGCAGATTCGGATTGGCTAAGATATAACAATGAAAATGAAATACCTCTTCTTATAAATCCTTAAAAAGGATATATTATAACTGCTAACAATAAAATTTCATCAAATAATATAAAAAATTATCTAAGTTAGAGCATTTCTACTACTGCTAGAGGGATGAGAATAAACTAAATAATCGAATAATATATTAAGAATGGAACTAAAATAAGTCCTGAGCATGTTTAAGATATGTAAAATGATGTTAAAGATGCCTATGCTGAAAAAGTTCTTCCTTTTCTAATTGATTTATATGAGAAAAATAAAAAGAAGTAATTTTCTTTTTATTTATATTCAATTTTTTAAAAAATTAACAAAGATTCTTATAAAAAGAAGATTTGACGTAATGTGATGCCATGATAAATGTATTGAAGAAATGGGATAGCAATGTAGAAGTAAACAGTGTAGGAAGTAGTATATATTACAGCATCGATCATTTTATTAGTAAGAAGTTAATTCCTTAATATAGTGAAAATTAATAAGAAAAATAAAAAGTAACTCATAGTTTTGTGTTTGATCACTTCAAGCTTAACAGTATAGTAAGATGGGCATAAGGAAAAGAATTAGATTCAATATGGTGTGGTCTTTAGAAAGAAAAAGATAATAACTAATGCATTTTTCTTTTTATTTAATCGGTTTTAGATGCGAAAAATTATTTGTAGAAAAAATTAGGAGGACAAATTAATGATTGGAAATATGGAAAACTTCATTCTCATAGACACCCTCATGTGCCTTTCTCAAAAACTAATTTATGGCCTATTTTTGAAAGGAGTTGGGAATCTAAAGGTTCTAAACATACTATTCATTTATCTTTGCCCAATCTTAAAAATGATAATTGGGAAGGACTAAGAGGAGGAAATTATAAAATGATTGCCTCTCTTGATTAATAAAATTCTAATAGCTATTATATAATAGATACAGGTATTTCTGGTTATCCTTTTTCAAAACATTATACTGATTAATTAAAAATTTATAAAAATGGATAGTATTTAGTTATGGATAGATAAGATTTCGAAAAATATGAAAATGTTTTAGTGCTTAAATAATCAGAATAATTTAAAAACTCAAACAAAGGTAAGAAAAAAGATTTTTGATAATATAAAAATAAAATAATTTATTTCATATAAATACGTATATTGCAAAATTATTTAGTACCACAAAAATTAAATAAAAGTTTTAATTATATCGATTAACCATTTTCGACTATTAAAATATTTTCTTTAATTGAATTATCAAATAATTAGTTTAATTTATCTTAATAAAAAAAAAATGAATTTTTTTCATTTCTATATTAAAATAAAATAAAATCTTTTAAATCTTCCCAAAATAAAACATAAAAGGAAAAAAAAAATATTAAAATTTCTATTTTATGTATTTAATATAAGTATGAAAAAACATTAATTAATTAATTTTAAATAAAATATAATTATTTTGTATGAAAATGGGAAAAAGTGAAATAAATATGAAAAATACTATAAGTGATAATAAATTTGATTGATATTATCAGCATTTATCTTTTTAACAATTCGAAATTTTAAAGAATTTTATTTTATTTTTCTTCTTTTTTTTAGTATAATGAAGGCAAGAATTCTTTCTTTAAATAATAATATATAATTAAAACAATATTTTGTATATATATATTATTTAATCATTTTTAGAATATCATGTTTTTCAAATAAATATTTTCCAGCAAAAATCTATTTTTAGGATTAATTGCAAATAAGAACATTAATAAAAAATTTTTATCAGGAAAAATTAATAAAATTCATGACATAATGGAAGCATTTATTTTTTAACTACATAGTTTTCTAGCTCTTTTAGGCAATTTCACTTTTTTTTTTTAGTATAAATTTAAGATAATATAAGCAATTATATTGGCAAATACTTATTTAAAAAAGTATGTACTTCTCTTTTTAAAAATTATTCCAAATGTTTTTTTTAGATTAAAATTTAGAAAAAGCTAGTTTCTATTATCTATAAATAAAAATAAAAAAAGATTTTTTTAATATAAAATATTTTAATTTCTTATTTATATATTTTTATTGTAAATTAAAAAAAAACATATTTAAATATTTTTACCAAAAAGCAAAAAAAATATACATAAAATATATATAAAAACTAAAAATTATTTATATATTTATTGAAGTGTCCAAAACATTATTATAAAGCTGTTTCCTCAAGTCTGTAAAATAAAAAATACAATTAAAAGAAGAATATAATCATGATATGTAGATTTAAAATAATAATTTTATGTTATTAATTATAATACTATTAATTTTATTATTCCTATATAGATAGTATTTATGTATTATCCTTTTAAAATCACAATTATTAAAAGTAAAGTTAATTTAATTAAAACATTAGAATTATTATCTATACATTTAGTTAATATTTAACGTATTATTAATTTACTTTAATATAATATAAAAATAAATTATTAAATACGTGTCTATTATTTATTTTGGTTGAATATTAAATATAAAATTAAATAATTTATATTCTTATAAGAAAAAAAAAATATCTTTTTTTTTTATAATTGTTACTTATTAAACATATACATATCTTATAATTTACTTTTATTTTATAATTTATTTTAAATTCAAAAAATTTTAATATTATTATTATATTCAACTTTAATTACTTTTTAAATAATTAAGTTCTTATATTAACTTTTGCAATTATATCTAAGAACTTTCATATTTATTTTTATAAAATTTCAGCTCATCTATTATTTTTTATTCAGAATAGAATGAAGATTCAGTATCTTTAGAAATATTTGAAAATTATTTATTATTAGATTTATATAGAAAAGGCTTATATTAAGAAACATCTTAAATTATTTATTTTTATTAACATTTTTTTAAATTCATAATATTAGATTATAAAAATAGTTAGTATTTATTTTATAAATTTTAAACTTAATTTAATTATTAATCTTTATTTGTTGACTATTCATTTTAATTTTGATATTTGTTTTAATTTTATATATTTTTAGTTTAATTTTAGTAATCATTCTATGCTTAATTTAATAATTCTTATTTAATTAATTAACCTTATTATAATTTTATATCTTTATTTTTAAAAAGATCATCTGAGGCATCTTTTTGAAATATATCATTTGATTTTTACTAATGAGATTAGTTTAAATTAATTGAATTTTTCTTTAAGTCTTTAATTTGTTATAAAGTGAGTGAAACATATTCAAGTTTAAAATAATTTATCTAAGAAGGAAATTTAACTCCCATTAATTCTAATTTATTATACTCGCTTTCAAAAATACTTCCAGGAATCCAATTTTTCCATACATATATACATTCTAATAATAGTCTAAAAAAACTGTTTCCTAAAATAACTAAATCTTCTTGATTACTATTTTCCCTTTATATTATTTATAATAAAATTTAAGATAGAAATAAACATAATTTTTTTTTAAAACAAAATTATATTTTTTTATTTTAGATATATGTTTTTGTCTATTTACGTAAAATACTATTTTCCTCTATCATCTTTTTATATATGCATTTAAAATTATGCAATTTAACACATTAAAGGAAGTAAATTTTAAGACAATTATTAAACATATTATTATTAGTAAAGTTCAAAACATTCCTTTGCTAAACGAAGTGAGTTTAACTGTATTATAGGAGAATATTTTAATTTATGAGATAATATAAAATGGGTTGTTTATAAAACTAAATCTATTGCTTTCTAATCATTTTATAATATCTGCTTTTTATATGGTTTTGTATTTGTCTTATAATTTTATACATCAGCTAATAGTTGAATTAAGTTTAAATTTTCTTAATTCATTAGTTTACTTTTATTTTGTGATAAATATGATTATTTAAAAAAAATTATTATTAATGGAAAATATTAATTAAAAATTAATCAATTAATTTTTTTATTTAATTATATTTAGTAAATTGAAAAAAAAAAAAAAAAATCTATTTCAATCAATTTTTTAAAAAAAGAATAAAAAATAAATACATGCTTAAAAGTAAATGAGTTGTGTTTATGTTTAAATAATTATAAAAATTTACTAATAAAATTTATTTATGAATAATTTATTCATATTAATAAATATATATTTAAGTAATATTTAATTTCATTTCTATTTAAATATAAATATAAGTAAATAATTATTTATATTAAAATAAGTTATATGTATTAAATGAATTATCCTTAAAGCTTTAATTTTTAAGAAACTTTATCGTATTTACCTTCCCCTTCTTAAAGTTTTTACCGTTCAAAAGCTAAAAGTATTGTATAAACAGTTTAGAAATATACTCAAAAAAAACAAAAAATAAATACACCAATTTAAAAAAGTTCTTTAAATAGTTTTATAAATCCAAATACATTTGTACAAATAGATTCATCAAATGCAGTAGTTAAAAAAATGCCTAAAAAATAAATTAGAGAAATAGTTAATTAAATGAATAAGGGAAATAAACAATATGTACTTAATAATTATTTAAATTAAATAAGTCCAACTAAAAAATCTTAATAAAATAATGATGAATTAAATATAATTTATGAAAAAAAAAAAAAAGGAAAGTAAAACTAATAAATATAATATAATTTAGATAAGTGAAATATATTTTGATAAACTAATTTTTCCTAAATTTATATAAGGCGAATAATATTAAGAAGAACCAAAAGAATAATTACAAGCCAAAAGTGATAAAAAAATAGTATTATAATAATAAGAAAACTAATCCTTAAATTATCGAAAAAAATTAAAAATAGTCCTATTAAGATTAAAAATAGTCCGTTTATTCTTTTTAGAAATAGATAATAGATTAAAATAAATTCGTAAAGAATAAATGGTATATTTTTCAGACGAAAATATTCAAATATAAATTCACGAAATGATGAATTTTTCATTAAGTTGTTGTGGAAATTTAATAAAACAACTTTTTCGTGAAAAGGAAAAATTGATATTTTATAAAAGATAATTTAGTAAAAAAAATGAAAACAAAATTACTGTTAAAAATTATGCTCTAATCTTAATTAAAGAAATGGCCGTCTAAAAAATAGACTTGAACGAAAAATTTTTAATTTTTTTATCAAAAATTATTAATTAATATTAGTTTCTTCCTTAGAAATTTTTATCATAGTTTATAATAAGCAGATTATAATTCAATAAAATCGGATAAATTATTAATATTTCCAAAAATCAAAAAGAAATGATTGTTCTTCTTGTTATTATTATATATGGGTTATTTAATAGGCTTATTAAGCCTTGGTAAACTATTCCTAAAATGCATGAAAGTCCTGAATTGAGAAAAAATACTTAATTGGTTGTAAGTCTAATTTTTTATGTACTTTTTGATTATTTAAAAGAAAAAAATAAAGTTATTGAAAATAATTTAAATGTAGTTTTACCTTAATATAAAATCGAAGCCAGAGATTAAATATTAAATGCTCACCATTTTTTCGAAAATGATGAATAAATTATGCCACATGAGAATGATGATTACTTTTAACGCAAATTAGAAGATTAATTGGAATATAATTAAGGAATTATAGTTGGAATTTAAAAAAAAGAAAAGTTTTAAGAAATTTTTAATGATGAAGATTTTATAGATGAAATTAGAGAAAATTTTTATAAATTAGCTTAAAATATTATTAATTGTTGTAATTTAATTTATTAAAAAGAAAAATTACTTTAATTTTAATGATTTAATAATAACTGCTTGTAAATTAATTTTTTATTTTTTTGAAAGCATATTTTTTTTTGTTTAATTTACATATTTAAATAATAAAAATATTTTTAAGAGAAAAAATAATTATTATAATATATTTATTTTATATATTAAATTCCTTTTATATTTTTTTTATTATTTTTTTTCGACTTTTTTTTTAAAAAAAATAATAAATCAGATAACAAAAAAAAAATGAATAAAAGGCATTTTTTTTAAATTGAATTTTTATATAAATAATTATAAAATAAAATAATTAATAATTTGTATAATACTTGTTTATTTTTTTTATAAAAAAAAAAACTCTTTCAAAAATAAATAAATAGGCAATTAATTCATTTATAATTCAATTTTATTTTAAAAAATCATTTCCAGAAAAATAATAAAATTTATTATAATTTTCATTTGATATATTTAATATAAAGATAAATTAATAAAATAATTTACTTTCACTTATTTATAATCAATTTAAATCTTTCATTTATTAAAACACAAATTATTAAAGTAGTATACTTTCGCTTTTTTCAAATAAATATAAATACGTAATTATTGAAAAAAAAATATATATATATATTAATTATTCTTATATATAAAATAAATATGAAAAAAAAGCATTTTATTTTAAATTATTTGAAATTTCTAGTATTTTAGTAAATATTAATAAAATTATTAAAAAATATAATATATAAATAATTAATAAATAAATATGATATATATTTCATAAATAATGATAAAATAATTATTATAATAATAAAAATATGTATATATAATAAATAAAAAACATAAATATATTTTATATATATATATATAATTTTTCAATAAATTTCATAAATGAAAATCTTCATCACTATTAGACTTTGTTTCATTTAAAAAATCAATAAAAACACCATTTTTGATTACTAAATCTATTTATGAAATTTCATTCAAGAAAAACTATAATTATTTCTCACGATTTTAAATAAATTATTAATTTAGATTTTCAAAGATAGTTTTACTTGGGAAATTAGGAAGTCTAATATTAGGAATAGATGCTTGCAAGTTTTAATAAAATACCAATAATTATTAAAACATAGTTTCGAAAAACCAAAAAGAGTTATTTTTTTCAATTACTTTGAATTTGTAGATTATTACTTGTTTATTATTTCCATCAATTCCATCTAATTCATTTTCATTTATTATTTCAAAACCTAAGCATTCGAATTTTAAGTTACTTTGTTTTTTACCTAATCTAAAACGAGAAAGCTTGCTTTTATTCTTAATAGCTTTTTTATATATAATTTTCTTCTCCAAGATACTTAGTATAGTTATCTAGGGAAGTTCTACCTCTTTTTTCAATTAAAAAATACTACATTCATCGTCATCTGAAGTAGAAAGTTAGGAAATTCTTCTTTGTTATCTTATATATTCATGTTTAGTATGTGTAAGAGACTTAAAAATTTAAGAATCCATTGTGAAGTTTAATATTTTATCTGTTATTTTTAGTTTGCAAAGATATAAAACCTATTCAGTGCTTCTGAGTTGTTTCAATTATTAGATTCTTGTTTTTATTTTTAATATATTTATTTATTTTTTATAATTATATTATATAATTTATTATTTGTTTTTTTTATATACATAAGTAAGATATTGGAATCAACATATATTTTTTATTTATAATAATTTAAAAAATACAAATATATTCAAAGACATAAATAAGAAAGTATTATTTACAATTTAATCATTTTTAATATATTTTGTTTTTTTAAATTTATTCTTTATTAATTTTTTTTAAAAAAACTATTTGAACAAGAAATATCATTAAATATATTCACTAATATTATATTTCATAAATTTTTAAAATAAATTTTATTTTTATTTAATTTTTTTATTTAAAAATTTTTATTTTATTTAATTAATTATTTATTTTTGGTTAAATAGTATTTTGATTCATTTTTATTTAATTAATTAATATATTACTAATATATATAATTACTAAAATTATTTTATTTATTATATTAGAAAGTAATATTATCTAATTTTATTGAATTAAATATAATTTTATATTAAATAATTAAATCTTTATTGAAATAGATTAATAAATTTAGTTAAATTAAAAAAGAACTTTTAATAATTTTCTAAAAGAAAAGAAAATTAATATATTTAATGAAAATATTATATATTATTTTTGTATCTTTTATAATTTTTTATTTTTATTTTTATTAAAAAAAAAATATTAAGTTTATTAATTTAAATTATAATTATTAGTTATAAAACTAACAAATAATCCAAATTAAAAATAAAGATATAATCTAAATAAAAAATAATTTATAAAAATAGTTTTATCATTAATTTATTAATATAAAAATATTTTATTTTATAATAATTTTAAATTTTTTATAAACCTTTATCAATTATCAATTTTAACCTTTCATTTTTCTTTACTCGAATGCTTCAATTGCTAATTCTCTTAGTTTTTCATGTTAATATAACTCTTTATCTTTTGAATCTAAATTGAAATATTCGTCAATATTATTTGGTTCTTAAACGACGGTATTTTGATTAGTACTATTATTCTTTGGTGGAATTTGGTCAATTAATAAAAATTATGATAAATCTCCGTTTTCTTAGCTTTTATAAGAAAGTAAAATATTAGAATAAAATTCAACATCTGCAAGATAATTTTCTAAATTACCTTCACTTAAATCGAAGCCTAATTCATATTCAAATTTTCTTTTCGAATCTGGGTTAAAAGATGTTTGTGCAAGGTCAATAAGTAATGTTTGAAGTGTTGGCTTGAGGTCTTTTATAATATTACGCGCAGTATCGATTTCCGTTTATTTTTTTGACAATAAATTATTAATTTTTTTCTTTATTTTCTCATCATGAGGAGTGCCTTGTAAGGCTCTTCTACGGGCTTCATTATCATTTTCTTAATCTTCGCATTTTTTTTCAAGATCAGTATTCAAAGTTTCTAGATTATCTATATCTTGAGATAAGATATCCACATAATTATATAGTGAATAATTTTGTTCTTCACTTTTTATAAAAGTATTGGCTATTTCTTCGATATCAGTTATACCACTACATTCCTTTATTTAATTGAAAGCTTCTTCTATTACTTTAAGGTTCTTTTGGTATTAATCGATTATTTTTACCTTTTCTTTATTGTTTGCTATTATTTTTTTTAAACGATGTTTTAGTAAATTTTGAGTATCTTAAGTATCAAAGTTTTCTTTTTTATTTGTGGTTTTCAATATTTCAAATTTAGGTTTATTTTCATCTGCTTTTTTTGGACTTATTCGAATTATCTTTATAATTTTTAGTGTTTTTAAATACTAAATATAAATATTTTTTTACTTAAAACATGATTTTTTTCATTTTCATTTTTATTTCTTAATAAAATAATTTAATTTTTAGTTAAGTCAGTTACTTGAATTTTATTTTTTATACTTTCTATTACATTTTAAGTTTCTTTTGATGTTTTTTTTACATCTTCTTCAAGCTTTTTGCATACTTCTAAATGTAAAACACGCTCCTTCCTAAGTTGGTTTATTTGTTCTTATAAATCTTAGTTTGCTGATTAAGTTTCATTATGCTTGCCTAAAACTTTTTCGATTTTAGCTTATTGATTTTTTATTTAAGATTCCATTAATTTTGTTTCCGTATTATGCGATTTTTGCTTTAACTCTTTTATAGATTAAATTTTTTGTTTATATTCTTTTAGTACTATATTATATGTTTCATCTAATCCAAATAAACGACGTTTTTCTTATTCTAATTTTCTAGTATAATTATCAACTTCTTTTTGCATAGAAACTATTATTGGTTCTTAAAGTATTGATTTCTCATTTGTTGCTAATGTTAAATTCATATTTCGCTAAGACTAATTATGTGATGGCTCATAACCCGTGTACATTTTACTTTTTTAAGGTAATTAATTTATTTTTTATTTTTACAATATATTTAAGTCTTTTTTTTTTTTTTATTTTTTTGAAAACTGTTTTATTTATTTTATCCTTTTTTTAGAAATTTTAATATTATTTAATTTATAAAATTATTAATTATTTTGATTTTTTTATTGAAAAGTTATTTTTTGATAGTTAAACAATAGAAGTTTATTCAAAAATAATTCTTTATAAAATTTTTAATTTCTTTTGAAATATATTGATAAAAAAAAAATCTCTTCTTCTAAACATATTTATTTGCAAACTTAAATTTAAAAAAATTACTTATTTTAAAAAATCCAAATTTTATATTATTTATTATAATGTATAAGCTTAAATATACAGAAATTAAACTAGTTTATATATTATATACGAAAAAAAAAATCGTATTTATTTAATATATAAATAAATATAAAAAACAAAAGATATTAAATGTTTATATTATTTGAAATAATATTTTAAGAAAAAATTATTAACTTTATTAGAATAAAAAAAAAATGTTATATGTTTTATTAAAAACAACATTATATAAATTATATATTCTTATAAAAAATAAAATGAAAATTAGATATATAAGTTATTACCTTTTTAATAATGCAATAATAATTAATATTTTTTAAAAAAATAATAATATAAATAAAAAAAAAAAAAATAGATGTAATATATATAATAAATTATGAAAAATTACATAATTAAAGATAATTAAAATATATTTAATAAATAAAAAAAAAAAAAAAATAATACTTTTTTTTTAAAAATTAATATTATTTATAAAAAAAAACAATATTAATATTAAAGTTAATAATAATAATAATAATAATAATAATTAATAATAATAATAATATTAAAAATAATAATAATAAAAAAAAAAAAAAATTAAATTTATAATATTTATATATAAATAAAAAAAATATAATAATAATAATGTTATATATAATAATAATATTTTTAATATTTTTATTTTGTTTTAACATTTATTATTATTATTTTTTTATAAAATTAAAATATAACTTTATATACTTGTAAATTTCAAAAATAAAATATAAAATATTTTAAAATTTTAAAAATAAACACACAAAATTACAAATAATTTTACATAGAAAAATGTAATTTTTAATATATTCATTATAATTATTTTAATCATAAATAATGTTTTTTTAAATACATCAATTTATTTTTTATTTTTTTAATTATTATCTATTTCTAGTTCTTAATGAACTAATATTTTATATTTCTTTTGGGTTTTATACAGCTTTAATATAGTCTTTAAGTACATCTTTATGTGCTTTTTTATTATTTACTTGGCTTTTTTATAACCAATTCCAAGCCTCTTCTTCAACAAAATACTTAAATATATATTTATAAGGTTCGTTAAGTATAAGGGCTTTAATAAAAGTATTATTGTATGAATAATTAGATTCGAATTCTTTATATTTTTATCTAAAAATATCAAGTTCTTTTTAGGTTTAAATATTTATGATTTTTCTAAATTTATTTAAATCTCCCCAATTATTTACAAAATTTCTGAAGGCTTTTACGAAATTTTTAACTACATTTTTTTTGGTTAAACTGGTTCTTTATATAAATTTTTGTTTTATTTCTTCATATTATAAATAGTAGAAGCCTATGAATAATCATCTTCTTCTTAAGCTTATTTTTAGGAAGCTAAAAGTTTTATTTTAAAATTATTTTGGAGAGATAAAAAAGAATATTTTTCAGAATATAACATATACTAGATATCAATTTCATCTTGACATACTTAAGAAACATTAAATTTAAATTTAAAAACTGAATTTTTTAAATCATTTCCAACACTTTTTGTTAATAACTCTTTTTTTTCTGATGTTTAAAATTCGCTTGTTTAAATATAAAGACCAATATTTTATAAAAGATATCCGTTAAGGGTATTATTTTTATATATGTATTTCTATTTCTCGGCACATTTATAATCATCAGTGTATATTGTATCCTCAGTTTTCAAAATTAAAAGTTTTTAAAGAGGATTTTTGAAATCTTTATCTACATAAGTTAAATAAAAAGATGAAATAAGACGAATGTTTTAATAATTATAATCGTTTTGGTTAAAGTTAGGGTTCTATTCGTTAAATTTAAGCTCTTTTCCTACTGTTAACCACATATAGTAAGTATCATAGCCTAAAGTTGCAATTTGTAATATGTTATCGTTACAAGTTTTTATAGATTCTTAAACTGGATTCGCTTAGAATATTTAGTTTTATTAGTCTGATAAGTCGTGAATACTTTTATATATGGAAATCTTACGAAATTTATAAGAAAACATGTAGTTAAATTAAAATTGATCGTTTTATTGAGTCATTTTGCTTTTGGTATTGTTTTTTTAAATGAATTTTATTTGTATATATTATAGTCTTTAAATTTAGTAAATGGAAAAAAATGAGTCTTTTTTTTTAATTAATTAATTAAATATTTTTTTATTTTAACTACCAATATCTCCTTTTTACTTTTTTTTTTTATTTAATATTTTTATTTTATACTTCCCCACCTTTTATTATTCCACGTTTAATTTATTTTAATGAATTTTTTCATTCAAAAATTTATAATATATTTTTAAATTCTAGAAATTCTGTATTACTTATTATCATTTTAAAATTTTATTTTTTTATTGATTTAATTTGTATTATGCTGTTTTTAAGAAATAAATTTAAAAATAAGAATTAATTATATCATAAAAAATATATAATAATTTATTTTAATATAAAGAGTTAAATTTATTTTATTATTTTTCTTCTCTCCCACTTAAATCAAATAAATGTAAATAAAATTTTAGAAAATATTCATAATTTAAAAAAATTAATACTTATTTTGTAGCTATTTAATTTAAATAGCTAGAAGTAATAATTTATAAAAATATTATCTTCTATTCTATAGTTTTAAAAAAAAAAACAATAGAAAATAACTCTTTTTAAAATAAATAATATTTGCATTTAAATAATATAAAAAAAAATATTCGAATATATATAAAGAGGTTAAATATATTAAAAAAAATATAATTGAAAAATATATATTATAGAAAACTATTTATTAATTACAAATGAAGTAATAAAAAATATTTCTTAAAATTTAAAATAAAAAATTTATTTTTCTTAAAAAAAAAAAGTATAAATTTTTATAATCTTAAAAAAGTATCAATTTTTATTATAAAAAAAAAGAATGAAAAAAAAAAAAAATTAATAAAATAAAAATATGATTAACAAAAAAATCATATAAAAGAAAAAAATTATATAAAATATATAACAAA